ACGGAGGCAATAGGTGTGTGCACCCGAGTATTATCTGTTGATTACAAAGCGCAGATCTGGGAGACAGTTGGCTGTATGTGGCATCCCAGCCACAGAGCCAAGCCAAATGATGTGATCCAATCAGAGAGCATGGCCCTGTCCACATGGTAGCCAGCAGTATGGATAACGAGACCCGGATTCAGAGAGCACCCTGCACAGGAAGGGAACCTTCACAGCCATGGGAAGAGCCCGGTCTTGCAGGGTTGGCAGAAACAAATCACACCACCCTCAAATTGCAAAGTGGTTTTAGAATAATTCAAGTCAGAACAGTTGATGATGGGGGTTGAGAAGTGTTAGCTCCGAGGATGGGACCCTCCAGCCACCTGCTTAATCCACGCTCACAGAGGTGGAGCCTGGCATTGTGAATTAGCCTCCAGCTGCGGGCGGGGGTGGGGGGAATATGTTGGCTGGACTTCAGCCGGCACCAAGGCCTTCTTAGAAAGATCAGCAGATGAGGGGGTTTGCGGTGTTTGGAATATGAAGACTAAGGATCAAGACATCAGGTCACTAGGCTGACCAGATTGAATAACAGAGCTGCTAGAAGACAGTTAGATCCTTTGCTCTCTCTTGCTTCTGCTCCGTGCTCAGACAAAAGTACCTTCCAGGTAGGCTATGGCACTGGGGTTTGCAAAGGCAAATGCGAGTGCGTTCAGGGAGCTTGTTGAGGTCCATGCGCAAGAAGGAAAGAAGTCTGCACTAACCGTAGAGCATAGAGCTGGTGTTCTGGTCACAGAGCAAAGAAAGACGGCAAAGCGACAGAGGATTTAGAGCTCATGGGAGACCCTGAAGATGCTGAGGTATGAATCGGGGAGAAAGATAATCCCCACTTGACCACAGCCAAGCGAGGAGAAGGTCAAAGTGCTGGATTGAGATTCTTCACGGAAACAGGTGAACTGGCCTTGCCAGCAGGTCTGAGAGCTCTCTCCCCAGAGACAAGCGTCGCTAATGCAAAGGGGGAGACTTCCTCCTTGTTTCCATGGGTCTTTAGAATTTTTAAAGTGCTTGCACACCCTCTATTTATTTTACCACTGGACAGTCCTGTTTTCACAGTTGAGAAGTGGATTCCCTGAGGTTCGACTCGTTTGACTCACTTAATTTGTACATAGCAAAGCCCATTCTTAAACAACTAATTTTCTCTTTTTTTTTTTCTTTTTTTTTTTTAATTTCAAGTTCAGGGCTTTCTCCATGATATTGAGCTCCCCTCTGTCTCTGATATTCTGGTTAGTCCCAAGCCATTAACCCTCAGAAATTTGAAGTAGTGACTTGGTATGGATCTCTCCTCAGTCTGCAGACCCTTCTCTCTCTCCCTGGGAACACATGAGACTGGTGTGCCATTTGGACAAGGCCGCCTCGGTCTGCGCTGTGCCTTACCGGGAACGCCCGTAGACGCTGGGCTCCTTAAGGCTAGAACAGATATCTCAGCATTTGAGCTCAGAAACTGCTGATTCCTTTTGCTATTTCCTCATTTGGCTAAAACCCTCCAGTGGCTGCCTTCCAGAAGGGCATTGTCACATCAGAAATAAATGCAGTTTTCAGAGCCTGACAACCTTAGGTCTGAATCTCAGCACTGTTAATTATTAGCAGCCCGAACTCGCTGAACATCCACTTGCTCATCTCTAAGTAGAAATTCAAAATAACTATATTTTGATCTTGTGAGAATTAAATAAGGTAAAATACATTCAGTGTTCAATATAGTGCCAAACATTTCAATATAGTGCCAAACATTTAGTAAGGGCCTGGTAAGTGGTAGTTATTTGGCCGACCAAAGAATAGTCCAGACACTTCAGCCAGGCCCAAGGCCCCTCCCAGCAAGACCCCTTCCCCCTCCTGACACACCAGCAGCCTGTCCATTCCCTAGTTCGACCCCCCTGCTGTTCCCTCCTGGGCTTGTAGGGGAGGGCAGAGGCCATGGTACTTAGGAGGAAGGGCTTTCCAGGACCTGCTGCCTCTGCACTGCCCGCCTCAGAACGAGAGCTGGTTTCTAGCAGAAATCAATTTGAGAGCCTGTCCTTTGAGAGAAGGGGGCCGGACGCTGAGGCGCGTGAGGCCGTGGATGATGAGTGATGACCCACGGAGGAGCTGGAAGGCAGCCGACGGCCGAGCTGGGAAATTCCCATCTTTTACTGATGAGACCTAGAGAAACATGGCATTTTTTTTTTTTTCCTAGAGAGCTGCTGGGAACTTAACCAAATAAGCGAGAAACAAATGGAAAATTGGGTGACCCAGTGAAGTCTCAATTAGTGGGACCAGTGCCTCCTAGCCTGTGAAATCCTCAGAAGTTAACATTAGAGTCAATTTTTAAACCTGATGAAATTTCACTAATTTGCTAGGCAGCATAAAAAATAAAAAGTCTGATTATACATTTAGTAGCAAAGACTAACAGAGTGTTATCGCATGATTATATTTCAATGACTGGTAAAAAGCACATGAATTATTTCTAAGACAATGTGTCTTAAAGTGCCCGCTGAGCTTGTGCTGTTAGTTTGAGGAAACGTGTCCTGTGCGATCTTGCTGACTCGGGCAGTGTCGCCTGCACAGATTTAGGAAAGGCCATTGGTCCAGCCTCTGTGTGAGTTAGGATATATGTTCATGAAGGGGACTAAGTTGTGGAGGCTTTTCCTGACTCTGTGGTTTTGTTGTCCCGCAGCCCATTCATTTCAAAGGGCAGTTTTCAAAGCTGTGCCGTGCGGAGCACTGCTGAGAACGCCCATGCGCTTGCCTGCGACCCCGCAAAAGCCAGCAGGGGGCTCTTCCGCGGCTCCTCTGTGGTGTGAGACCTGCTGGAAAATGTTCAGAACAGTGACTGACCTTTATTTTCCTCTTGACCCGTGTCCCCTTGCTCTCCCCGCCTTACCTCTGTGGGAGTCGGAGTGGGACAGGTAGCCCCGCCCCAGCACACGGACAGCTACCATGGGCGTTAAGTCAGAGCGCACCACCAAGGAACCCCGTTTTCCAAAATCAGGGACACACCGCGATGGTCAGAGGCCCCCTTTGTTGCACAGAATGCTATTTTGTTGGGATTCTAGGCCATAATTAAATGCAGGGAGCAAATTCCGTGCTTTATCCAGGGGTGTGGGAGGGGCGAGGATTCCTGGGCCTTTCTTCGTCAGAGGGGTGCCAAGGGGAACCTGGGAGAGCCCGCCCGGACGTGGGGTTGAGGACCTGGTTCAAGCAGAAATGAAAGCCTGGAGCGTGGGAGCTTCGGCCGCCTGCCCCTCACTCACCCCACCCTGTGTTCTCATTTTAAGGAGAGGGCAGGCTCTCCCTTAGCTTTCATTCAGGACAAAGGGCCTCAGGAGAGAGAGGGACCTGTGTGGCCGGTTTGTAAACTTTGCATCCAGCTGATGTCATCGTTCCGTGGCATTGAACTTGCAATGACATTCTCACTTGTTGGCTTGTCTACTCGAGGCCTGTCTTTCCTACTAGACAGAAGTGAGAGGCGAGGGACCTCATTTGCTTTGTTCACAACTGTGTTCGCAGCACCTAGAAAGAGTCCCTTATACATTTAAAGGGCTCTGTCAGTGCCGTTCCGTGAACAGGTAAAGGCGTGTTTGACTGACCGGCCTGGGCTCCTGGGAGAAGAGGCTGTTACAGTTTAGGGCACGGTGTTATCTCTGCCCTCTTAAAACTCGGAGATTTTCATGTGAAGGATTAAGATTTATGAGACCCTGGGTTTACTTCCCAAATCACTATTCATCTGTCATTTGCGGTGAAATTAACATAACTTTGAATATGGGATTGTTTACCAAGTAAAATGGTCATTAGGAGTCTTGGTGGGGTATGGTGGTACATTGAACAAAATTACATAAAGGAAAATTCCCTTCACTGCAACCAGCAACTAAGACGCAGAGCCTGAATTCTAGGCCCTTTGTAGCAGCGGGCCGGCCGGCCAGTTCGCCCGTGGGGCTGCACCGTGGCTCGCGCCCCGAGCTATCCCCCATGAGGTGTGCTGCCCTGGGCCGCGGTGTCCTCTGCGATGAGTGGGCCGCAGGGATCTTCCCGGCCCTGGCCTTCGTGAGCTCTGTGGTGGAGCCTGGCGCAAACGTGCTGGTGCAGAGGCTTGGCTCAGAGCAAGAACTCCCAGCGTCAGCCAGACTCGGGTGCACGGCCCATGAGGCCTCTCTGGCCCTCTCCTGCGAGGCGGGGAGAGTGATGCCTGCACCCTGAAGGTCTGAGGGAATCCACATAAAGAGTGCTTATTGCTGAGCCTCGCCGGGAGCAAACATTTATTTATGCTCTCACCCATTTTTATTGCTATTAAGCATCACCAGTACAGCTCAGGTGGTCCTTCCTTAAGCTGCAAAGGAAGTAGCTCATGATGGACAAGTCGGTCATTTAATGTATCAAAAGGCATCACTTGTATGACCTCAGGACCTTGCTAGACCACGTCTCCGCCACAGATTTCGTGGTGGTTTTAGGTGCTGCTCATCAGTGCTTTGGAGAGATGTCAGAGCAGCCTGTCAGGGTTGTCATGTGCCCTTCTTCAGATGAAGTCCTTCGTGGGCATAAATACACCACGACGACTTGAAATGCCTTTCCACGGAGAGGCTTTCGGGCCCAGAACAGGTGTAACTCCTCTAGCTGGTTCTTACACATTCACTGGGAAAAGGCAGTGCTTGTCTGAGACAACTGGAGAACTGGAAGCCAAAGCTTATGTTTAGAAAGCTTCAGTCAAGCGAGGCTCCCTGGAATAAAGTACGATGTGGGGGGTGGCAACTAATCGAGGCAGCTTCACCCTTCGCCTCTGCGGGTGGGAGGAGGGGTGCGGAGCAGATGGGCGCGCTCTCCTTGCCTCGCAAAGCGTGTGGGCTCTGCACGTGCCATGGCTGTGCACGGGCCTCGCGGGCCTCCCCCAGTCTCCTGTCTCGTAAGGTTCCCTTTTCTCCATGAAGTTTCTGACTTCTTCTCCCCTCTTCATTCTCTCTCTTTTTTAAACTGCTTTCTGCTTGGATGCTCCATAGGAATGCTTTGGGGTAAATATTGTTCTCAGTTCGCTTTGAAGGAAAATCCACAGGATGGGTGGGAGGAGGGAGGAAGCATGGCTGGGCACGGGGGGAGGAGTGGCTCGTCAGGGAACGCATGGTGAGTGTATGTGCGTGAGTTTATATGGCGCGTTGTCACTGAAACCCAAGGGAGCACACGTTAGGGTCGCCCGGCCTTCTTGGAAAGCGACCCTTCTTATGGGTTTGGATATGTATTTGGCTTCTAAGTTGCCTTTTTTAGGTAGGTACATAGATGACCCTGTTCTGGTAAAAGAGTTTATAAAATATACAAAACCCCTGCATGCAAAAGACCTTACCAGTGAGGCATGTTTGGATTATCTATATTCACCTCCAGGGTTGGCTGAAAGTGACTTGTAGGTCATGGCCTATAACCACGAAGAGAATCTTTAAATTTACAACCTGAGCATAGCCAGCATCCTGTGAATCATACTAAATGTCTCCCTACCTTGGATGGACTCTTAGCTCCCTGTCGGGGGGTGGGTATGACAGGGAGGACAGGGTAAAGAACAAGCTGAAGCCCTCCGAGTTCCCGTCGGATGTCCTGGGCCCCGTCTCCTCCGGCAGTTGGTGTGCCGGTCACTTGGGCCAGCGCGCACAACGAGCCAGGGCCAGACGCGCTCCTGAGAGCCTCATCTCCTGCCGTCTGAGCTGGATGCAAAGATCTTGGGGGATGAGCAGGGTGGAGAGAGAAATGCAGGTGGATTTATCCACTTCATTCAAAATAAAAAGAAATGTATTTCATCTGTTAGGAGCAAACGTCGCCCGTGGGCTGCGGAGGGCAGTCGCTGGCGGTAGGGCGAGGTTGGGGGGCCGGCGGGCACTGCCGGTGGGCCTTCCCCGGCGTCGTGCTGTGGCTCTCTGCGGCTTGTGCTGGAGGCACCGCTCTGGAGGGGGAAGGGACTGCGGGACGAGCCCGCCACACAGCTCACGGGTGCGAGCTGCGGCCCTGGCAAGAAGCCTGCGCGGCACGCGGTCTCTGGAACAGGCAGCCCAGCACAGCAGGGGCGTCGGGTCCCCATCAGCTTCCCCCCACTGCTTTCCCTCGAACTGGTGAACTCTGCGGGGTGACAAACCTAGAGCCAAAGAAAGGGCTAAGTCAAGTCCCCCGGTGAGACTTGCTGTCCACTAAGGACTACTAATCCATGTAGCCAGTATCACTGGAGAGCCTGCTCCCGCAGAAGCCGCAGCCTAGGCACACAGAGACCCCTTGGGGGTGACCACCGTGTCCCCCGGTCAGTCTCTCTTCCTTGTTCGTTTTGCCAGTGTGGCAACAGGCCCGTTACGCTAGCTGCTAGGAAGAAGTGTTTATTAACGTGTGTGCGTGGATGCCTCTGGTTGTGTGCCTGAGTGTTCCTCTGCGCGAGGATGCAGGGCTGTGTGTGCACATGGGGGTGTGCCTTGTACATTTTCCCAAAGCATGTTTTGTGGGGTCTCCCAGAGGGAATCTATCCCAACCCAATTTCTGGCCTCTTTCCTGCCTCCCTCCCCCTTTCCCCTGCTGTTGCTGTGCTGAGAATGCCACTTTGATTTCTCCCTGTCCTGGGGCTGCCTGGGGCTCTTGCCCTGCAGCACCAACAAGGGGCGGGACATCAAGACCATCAAGTCTCTGCGGGTGCTCCGAGTTCTGCGGCCGCTGAAGACCATCAAGCGCTTGCCCAAGCTCAAGGTAATGTTTTCTGCGTTTCTTCCCAACAAGTCCACTTTTCCCATCTTCTCTCTCCAGCCACGATGGGCTTGCTTTTGCAGAATTATTTCCAGGCATATTCCTTTTGCTCACTTGGAAACTGAGGTTCTTTTCATCTACCTGCCTGAACTGCGGGTCTTAGTTCAAAGGAAAATTACCAGCATCCCAAGAAATCTGTAAGGCGCTAAGGGGTTTTCGCATGTTGAGCCCAGTGCCAAGTGATATGTGTAAATATACATATGTTAATTCTGACCTGAGAACATATTTATTGATTTTAGAGAGAGAGGAAGGGAGAAAAAGAGAGAGAGAAACAGGGATGTGAGAGAGAGGCATCAACGAGTTGCCTCCCGTGTGTCCCACGACTGGGGATCAAACCTCTATGTGCCATGGAATGTACCCTGACCAGGGATCGAACCTGTAACCTTTTGGTGAACGGGACGACGCTCCAACCAACTGAGCCACCCAGCTAGGGCCCCCAGTGACATTTTATACACTCTGGTTGTGGCCTGTCATTCAGAAAGAACCGCGTGACTGTCCTGGGCCTCCCCAGACAGAAGCAGCAGGGTCCGGCTGCCTGCAGTCTGCATAGGTCAGGTCAAGTAACCAAGGCCGGCCTCTCTCCTCGTAATCATAGAGAATGAAGGGATCTCCCAGCACTAACTCTTCCTGGGTTTGAGGCACAGGTAGGTCAGTAACTTGCCCAGGAACAGAGTCGCCTTGGGCATAAATTGAAAAGAAATGGGAAGTGAATCAAGGTGAATTAAGTTCTTCCTGTTGCCAGGACCTGTGCTCTCTCCCACCCCTAACCCTAACCCTAACCCTCCACACTCCCCAGCCCTGGGCTCCTTCCCTGGTTCCTCCCGCCCTCAGGGTGTGCTTCGCCATCGGGGTCCTGTTTGCTAGCAGGTTGAACCTGCCTCCTGCACGCACGCCTGATTTCCCCTCACTGCCTGATTTCCGCCTGCCCCGCCTTCCCTCCAGAAGGAGGCTCCTCCCACAGTGTCAGGCGACATTCACGTGCCCACCTCCGCCTGGTAATGGGCCCCGCACTGAGCCCATAAGCAGTCGATTCCTCTCCGTCCCAAGGATGTCCAGATTGGGCCGGGAGACCTGGGTTAACTGCTCTCGTTAGCTGCCGCCCCGTGGTCTCACCTCCTCCGAGCTACATCGGGGTCCTGGGGAGGGCACGGGTGGCACGACGGGATGAGTTAACAGACTGGAGGGGCGACCCCAACCCTGGTTAGTTCCGTTTGAGTCAGAAGAGCGGCCCCTCTCTCTGCCGCACCCTGACCCGAGGGAAATGTAGGTGTCTCTGATGACTCCGCAAGTCTGCGAGTCACTCACAGTCCCTGCCGTGTTGAACCAATTACACCAGCAGTGTTCGCCCAGCCCCATGAGGAAGCGACTGCGGAGATGCGACACCACCGTGGGGCTGGAGTCGCCAGCACACTAAACCTAAAAACCTAGAAAATAACCTAAAAATGGCTTGGAACGTGTCGCGTTCCCATGTAATTTCTCACAGCTTAGGGCTTAGACTGGCGTCTCCAGAGGGGGACCCACTGCCTTTAACTGAATATCCTGATTTAGTCCACCTGGTCTTCCCACGGCCACACGAGGGCGGCCGCCACCCCCCCCCCCCCCCACGTCACCTGTTGCATCTTTATCCCATCTTTCAGCTGGAGAACATTTCTGTAAAGGGTTGAACGTAATGGTTGCAAATGTATGAACTTAATATAAAACATCATTAAAGTGGACAAAGCCACTAGTTTATTACTCTAATCCATTTAGAAGGTATACAGAGAAAATAATACATATTCTGTATATGAATCAAATCTAAGAATATCACCAAGTAAATGTGAAGTCAGGGAACAAACTATTTTAATAGCTCAAATAGGCTAAATGGTCTCAAAGATCCCTTTCTGCAATAAATTTCTGTTTCCCTACTAGGTAAAGGACATCTAATGGGTTCCTCAGAGGAGTCCCTTCATTGCCTGATGGCAGCTGGTCTCTCTTGCTCTGGATTCACTGTCAGATTCCGAGCATGTGTCCCCTTCCCAGGTAGTGGGGACTTGTAGTCCTGACCAGCTTGGAAGCCACCTCTAAATCCCAGGAGCGTTTCTGCTTAGCAGGGCAGTGCCTCCCGAGGCCCCTTCTCGCTGGCTGGCGGTGGCGTGGCCCCGCAGAGCCCTGGGCAGATGCACAGGCTGCCTCAGGGACCCACCCCCCGGCTCCTCTGTGCACAGGCTGTCTTCGATTGCGTGGTGACCTCCCTGAAGAACGTCTTCAACATCCTCATTGTCTACAAGCTCTTCATGTTCATCTTCGCCGTGATCGCAGTCCAGCTTTTCAAGGGGAAGTTCTTCTATTGCACCGACAGCTCCAAGGACACGGAGAAGGAGTGCATGTGAGTGCCCCCGGCACGTCCTGTCCACACCGCCCCTCTTTGCCGACACGGGCTCTGCGAGGCCCCCTCCCCCTGTCCGTAGGCCTGGTCTGTCTCTCAGGCCCATCATGTTCCTCTTTGAGGGAAAAGGCTTTGTAGGAAGTCGCTGAACTATCATCGAGCACCTCTTTGATGTCAAACATGGCACCTGGCATTTTATCTCCAGTTTTTTCATTTTAAATCTTTATAACGATCTTCTGCGATGGGTTTCTTTGCATATTACAGACATTGAAGCTGAGGCATAGAAGGTGGAAGCTGCTGAAGGTTCCAGGGGGACTCATGAAAGGATTAGGAGTTAATCTTCCACGTCTCTTGGGCACCAAGTTCCATTTTTATTCTACAGTGTTGACCCTACCTTTAATAAAAGTCCTTCCTCGTATCATTCGTACGCTGGTCGTTGTTAGCCTGTGTCACTGAAGTCCCTAGAACTTCCTTACTCTTCCACGAGCTCTAGTATAGACACTCTGTTTCATTTCTGTGCTGATTTTAGAGGCAACTATGTGGATCATGAGAAAAACAAGATGGAGGTGAAAGGTCGGGAATGGAAGCGCCACGAATTCCACTACGACAACATCATCTGGGCCCTGCTGACCCTCTTCACCGTCTCCACGGGGGAAGGATGGCCGCAGTGAGTGACAGGCTTGCTTGTCTGTGAGTTGGGGCAGGGCTGCGCGGTTGCCTTGAGGAGCGGATTCAGGGCAATCGAGGCACAACCTCTGCTATTGTGCCAGGGAGAGGGAGTGGCTGTGAGTGGGTGAGAGAGGCGGAAGAGAGGAAGACTGGAAATCCTTAAGGCAGAATCGCGAGGGAGATGACAAAATCAGGGGGACATTTGAAGCTCTTAATGTTTGAACCAAGTTTTGAGTTGAGTGGAGCCGTCTGATTCCTATAGAATAAATGAGCTTTGAAAGCTCCCCACGCCTTACGAGGGTCCCTGGGGGATGTTTTAAACGTATTTACCCTTTAAGTTGGCCCCACGCCTGAGGATTGAGGGGTAGGGATGAGCTGGCAGGACCCAGAGGTACTCACTTCCGGGGATCAGGCCTCTTCTGAAGAGGACAACAGAACGCAGTACCTTATGCTGCCCATCACTGCAGGGTGACTCCTCAGAAATCCGGCAGTTACTAAGACACCCCCTCCTGGTGGCAGCGTGCTCTAGTTGACAGCAGAATGCCAAATGGAAACCCAGGTACTGAACGCGACGACCTAGACTGTAAACTAATGTCACTCTGTTGCTGAGAAGGTGGACGTGTGATGGAACGGGCTAGAGGAGCAGCGGGCTGAGGGCCCCTGAATCTCCGCCCTCCTGCTCGCGCTGGACCCAAAATGTTAGCGGAGGCTCCGCCTAGTCCAGGAGGTCAGATGAGAAGCGATGCCAGGTGGCACCTCTCGTAGCAAAGCCTTGAGTCAGAGCAGGTGCCACAATGGCCACCCACACGCGTGCCCCCTTCGGTCCCTAGAGTCCTGCAGCACTCTGTTGACGTGACGGAGGAGGACCGAGGCCCGAGCCGCAGCAACCGCATGGAGATGTCCATCTTCTACGTGGTCTACTTCGTGGTCTTCCCTTTCTTCTTCGTCAACATCTTTGTGGCCCTCATCATCATCACCTTCCAGGAGCAAGGGGACAAGATGATGGAGGAGTGCAGCCTGGAGAAGAACGAGGTAGAGCCGGGCCGGCGGGGCGCGGGCCGCAGGGGCCCCGGGGCGGAGGCTCGGGCCAGCCATTAGGGGGGAAGATGAGTTTTCTTAACTTAATTATAGAAGGAAGGGGGGGGCGTTATTCAGTCGTTCCATAAACACTTTTTGAGCATGTGCTCTGTGTAAGGCCCACAGATGCAGTGCCTGGTCTAGAAGTGTGTGTGTTTGGGGTGGAGGGTGGAATTAAGCCACCTGGTCACCTGGCTGTGTTCCTGTGTGGCGTGTATTTGCTGGAAGGTGTGGCGATGTGGCTCGCTTGCTTCCACTTGTCTAGTAATAAGCATAGTTCTACCACATTGTAGGGTTTATTATTTTTATAGCGGAACTGAACTAGAAACAGACTATAAGAGAAATGTGAATAAAGTGCCGTGAGAATACATAGAGAGGTTTTGATTTCTGAGGACATCAGGTAGGGCTTCCTGCCTAAACATCTCAGCCTCACGCGAAAGGACATTATTAATATCCACTAAGTTCTTACCCTATGTGACAGAACACCTCCCCGACAGGTCTATTCATTTAAGGTGACCTGTCACCTGTAGGCAGTCCCCGTTGCCATGTTTACATTGGCTTGTGCAGCCCTACTTTTTGTTTTTGTAATTTTTTGGGTCATACACCGTCCTCTTCTTCTAACCACCTAACAGAGAGCCACCGACGTGCGAGGCTGGGGGGTTTGGGCTGGGGCCGGTAACTAACCGCGGCTTTCCCGCAGAGGGCGTGCATCGACTTCGCCATCAGCGCCAAGCCTCTCACCCGCTACATGCCGCAGAACAGGCACACCTTCCAGTACCGCGTCTGGCACTTCGTGGTGTCCCCGTCCTTCGAGTACACCATCATGGCCATGATCGCCTTGAACACCATCGTGCTGATGATGAAGGTGAGAGGGCGGCGGCCGGAGGCGCTGGGCCGGCTGGACAGCAGCGACTCTTCCCTCGCGGAGCAGTTGTGTGTGCGCCCCTGACCTTGGGAAACACTCCCGCTTACCAGTTTGAGTCCTTACCTGCTTTCCCACTGTGGAATCTCTTTCTGATCTTCTCTCATTCCACAGCCCAGCCTCTGGGTCTTTTGGGCAAAATACAGTGAAACACAGCAGCCGTCCAGTCGCTCCCAAGACTGGGGTGGTGCGGGCAGGGGGATTCGGACAAGGACAGATGTGCCAGGGGACAGAGGTGGCCCTGGGGTTCTAGGGGAGTGTTGGAAGAGATGTGACCTTATTTAATGCTAATTGGGCAAGTCATTAACCCTGGAAAATCCTTCTGCCCTGCCCCCTGCGTCTTGAGGAAGACTGGCTCCATTGCTATTAAGTCACCGTGGGGGTGGGGGGCAGGGGCTTGGTCTGTGTCTCTGTCTGTTTTGTGCTGCCACACGGACTACGTGGTCTCCTCTGCAGCATTCCACGTCTGTCTCTCGCACACCACGTGCCGGTGTCTCCCAAGGGCAGGGCTGCGCGGTGGCCAGGCCCTGTGACCCGGAATCCCCGCTCACCTGGAGGGTTTCGTTCTTTCTCTCCTCTTTCTTCCCGGCAGTACTACTCTGCTCCCTGCACTTACGAACTGGCCCTGAAGTACCTGAATATCGCCTTCACCATGGTGTTTTCCTTGGAGTGTGTCCTGAAGATCATCGCCTTCGGCTTCTTGGTACGTCCTGGAACCTGTCCTCGGCACACTTGTCTCCCCAGGCTTTTGGCGGCCTCCCCAGGCTTTACGGGAAGGAGGCTGGTTGCCACAACTCAAAAATGGTCCGGTGAGCCGGGACTCCTTTGGGCTGCTCAGTAAACTGCCGGGCAGGCAGGACCTTGCGCGAGGGTGCTAGGAGAAGGGGCAAAGGAAGCCGGACCCCCAGCTCCACACTGGGCTGGCCGCCAGCCTGGGTGCTGCCGGGGTCCATCCACGCTCAAGGGGTGACAGTCATTGGGTGTCACTGGCGTTGCAATTTACACCTCGCTAGGGAGCGAAACGAGAGTCGGACTAATAAACCTGGAGTGCTTGTTTACTATAAAAGGTATAAAATTTTATAACTCAAATGGGAAACTACCTGTCCCTCTCAGCCTCAAACATAGTTGATAATAGGTTTTACCTAATTTTCCTCTCCCCCTCAGTTACATGAAGAGTAATTTCTGCCCACAAAAATGTTTATTACTTCAACTTAGAAAAGCAAATGACCTCTGAAGAGTGTGTGGGCGGGGGTGCAGGGAGAGGAGCGAGCGTCGGGATTTGGGTTTGGGAAGGGCGGGGGGTGAGGTTCTCTGGCCGAGCCCTGCTCCTCCTCCTCCTCCTCCTCCTCCACCACTAACTTATAATCAGCAGATTCTGGCATCTGCTCTCGCGAATGTGAAGCAAACCTAGCCCATCGCTTCAGCGTCCTGTAAACCAAATGTCCTCTCTGCCCCCCACCCCCCGCCCCTTGCTTCAGCGTTTACAGCGAGACCAGTGGGATGCAGAGGAACCCACTCGACAGCTGTTTCACACTTACTTAGTGTGGGGGCTTCCATTCCAAATAATAGATGTCTGTGGCTTTCCCTGCAAGAAGGGAAACTTTGCTTGTTGTCTGAATAAGGGCTTGATCATTGCGAGTGCTGATTGTGGGGTTGCTTGTGCTCCCTCAGTGGCTCTTTGAAAAGTCATTCATTTGATGGTTTGAGGAGGAAAGTTGAAGGAAACCCATGGCAGGTGGTCATATTGTCTTTTGCCTGACTCCCTCTGAAGTGTTTGGAGACTTGAAACTTGGGGGGGAAGTAAAAGAGTGAAAAGAAATGGCCTCGCCCTGAGGAGGGGGAGCTGGGTGGCGGAGACGTGGTAGCACGAGGAGAAGCTTTTCCTGCGCGTCTGGACTGGCTCCATGGGGCATTGTCGCCATCTGTGGCTGAAGCCTCCCATGACGTATCTCATTAGGGCGGGTACCGAATACACACTGATAAGCTTACCCAGAGGATTCGGCCCCAAAGCCTGGCTCCTTCCCACACGCCCCCCCTTCTTTTTCATTAGAGGTCTTGAGGCATTTTCACACTATGAAGGACACCATTAGTCCCAAGTGTGTCTTTACGTGGCTAGAGCCGCTAGGTTTGCAGGATGCCCCAACGAGCACCCCTGGGTCAGGCCTTCCCAGTGGCTGAGATAGCCATGGCGAGGGCCATCGTCGTTACGGCTGTTGTCGATTTCAACGAGGAAGCTGACGCTCAACAACTGTGCAGCTTCTCAGAGACTACGCAGTAAAGGGCCGTCAAATCGCAAAGTGTACCAGGGATAAAAAAAGGAAGGAAAAGGAAAAAGAGGAAAAGAATGAACATTCACTGGTTGTCCATTAAATACCAAACGCTTTATATATTATTCTTTTTAACTTCACAACAGCTCTACTGGATAGGCAGTTGCCTTCTTTTGTGGATGCGCTAGGGCTCGGGAAGATTGTGTGCTTCGCCACGGTCATGCGCAGGCAGAGCCCACATGCAGACCCTGGTCTGGCCAGCTGGGAAGCCCGCGCTCTGTCCACCGTAACCCACTGGTCTGCGCGGCAATGGGCTGTCCCGCACCATGCTGCCTGGCAAAGCACCCTCACCTGGAATCTAGGTCTTTCATCCTCAGGGACCCGGATGTGTAGTCTCTTGGCTGGAGGGGGGCTGTCCGAGGACTGGGCAGCTCCCCGGGGCTGAGGGTAGGAGGGCCCTAGGAGTGGAGGAACTCAGAGGCTCAGAGTGGCTCCGGTCGTGAAGGAGGAGGTATTTGTAATGGAAAGTGAGATCATTGTGAGGCTATGTGCTTCAGTTTCTCTGCATGCCTGGCAGGTCCATGTGGCTTTGGAAGCAGACAAGCCTCACTTTTCTCATTCATAAATTGAGGATAACAATAGCTACCCTATAGCCTCAGATACTTGTGTGTATCCAATGAGGCGATGTGCCCAAGGCATCTAAGGCGTCAAGTCCTGAGTAGGTGCTCATTATACGTTGCTCCTCTCTCCCCACACCCCTTCTCTGTCTTTGTTGCCTGTCTCTCCCCACCGTTCTCACCAACCCTACCGCTCAATGTTTTATGAACGTAGGTATCGCTCTCCACCTCTACACTCCATGGGGGGGATAAATGAATTGCATGACTGCCAAGGACCCAGCCCTGTATCTGGCCCACAGCGGAAGGAGTCACCAGCGCCTGCCAGGAAGAGGGGAGAGCCGCACTTCTGCAGTGCTCTGAGAGTCTTGTGCGCCAGCAGGGGATGCTGGGGAGACCCAAGTGTCCTGCGTTTCTTAAGGTCTATAGCCCAAGGCCTGTGTTCTCCTGAATAGCCTGCTCTCTCTATTAGGCGGGGTGTTATCTGGTTGGTGGATTTTCTAGGTCCTTTGTTTCTCCTCCATCTCCTTCAACCCACTCATTTTATTATTGCTCCCTTGCATTTTATTTCATTACACCTCCTCGAAAGGTGTAACAGAGCAGAGAAAGAGGGGAAAGGTTTAAGTCTGTTCATCCTATTGCGAATCAGCAGTGTGTTTGAAGAGGCTCTGTGGAATTAGAGAATATCTGTGGCACATCTTTGATCTTTAGTCACGCAGGACATTTGTTATTTTTATTAATAATTGAAAGAACTGTATATTTATAGGGTCACATGATACAGTATGGATAATTTTAAAAGTTATACTTGTAGAAAACCTTGAAGTAATATTGTAAGTAATTTGATTGACTTGTAGGTGACAATGATCTTTTTTTTTAAATTTAAGATGTTCCTGGCCATAAATCTCTTTCTTATATGTGAGCTTTTTAATCAAGCTGAAATCAATAACAAGGCCTTCAAATCATGATGCAACTGCTTCCCAAATTACTAAAGGAGAAATCGCATTTCTGGTTGGAAATGCTATTGTTAGAATGCTATTGTTGAAACCAACATTAGAATGAACGTGTATATGAATTAGCAAGTTTTCATTCCAAGTGACAAAGTTATATAACGAATGCTATCTTTTCTCCATTTTTATTTTTTTCCCGGTTGCCCTCCCTCCTTGGCCTGATGCTCCCATGACTGAATTCACTTGGCAGAACTATTTCCGGGACACCTGGAACATCTTTGACTTCATCACCGTGATCGGCAGCATCACAGAAATCATTCTGACGGACAGCAAGGTGAGGGGATGACTCAGAGACCTCATCTTGAAGCTTGGCCCTGAAGTAGCAATAAAAAAAAAATGTTCTGCACATTCAGTCCATTTTTAACTCATCAACCCAAATGTGTAACCCTGTGAGTGCGGGGCGTTCACTTCCTCACTCCTGAGTTCTAGCCAGAAAATGCAGACATTGGAGGCCCCCGGATCTCCCGGAAGCTTTGCTTCTTTTGCATGACTCATAGCAGGCATCTCGCGGGTAAACGGAGTGAATAGAGGGTGTCAGGAGAGGCCTACAGCACAGTGGAGCGCTTTAAGAGGTAATGAAAGAGGCCTAGCGTCTTTGCCCTTGCAGTTGTTGGACCTGAACTCTTTCCCTAAAATGGTACATCCTAAAGAAGACATGGAAAGCTCTTCGTAACTCTCTTTGAATATTGGAGAGCCATCCCGTGCTGGAGGGATGATTAGATCCGCCCTTTTGGCATCTAGGTGCAGAATCAGGACCACTGATGGAGGCCCAGGGAGGCCGGCTCTGTCTAATGCAGGGACCCCTCCGGGGGACTTCCATACCCTTCTCCCTGGGACTAGAAGGCAGGCCTGGGAAGGCTTAGAGACCTGGGCCTCACTGGCCTGTCTGCTGGAGATGGGGTTAAAAACGAAAGACAGAATACATGTCCAGTTTTATATCTGAATGAGGGATAAATACGCCCATACTAGGGCTTAGATTTTCTAAATAACTTAAATGTCACTAATTCTATGTTTCCTTTTGGTCCACCAGCTGGTGAACACCAGTGGCTTCAATATGAGCTTTCTGAAGCTCTTCCGCGCCGCCCGCCTCATCAAGCTCCTGCGTCAGGGCTACACCATCCGTATCTTACTGTGGACCTTCGTGCAGTCCTTCAAGGTAAGAGGCGCCCGCTCCTCCTCTCTGAGGGCCCTGACGTAACGGACAATACAGCCAAGCAGCATGTCGTTCCGCAAGGCCCTCCGCCTCTGAAGCGGGAGAACGGGTGTCTGTCAGGAATATTGTGTAAACACAGCAGCACAGCTTGGCCAGGTGTGGTCAGCTCATCTTACTCAATAGAACCTCATTGTAGAAACCTGTCTCAGCTTTGTAGCTCGGTTATTTTTTTCAGTCCACTGAGGCAGGGAGCTTGCCTTATGCAGTGTGCTCCCTCCCGAGGCTTTCCAGGACCCCTGAGCAGTCCCACCCACAGGAGAGCCAGCCGCCTGGAGTCACAAACCCTCTGCATTTTCAGGGACACGGCAGTGGCTTCATTTCACCTAATGGTTTTTCAAAGGACTCCTTGAGCTCTGTTTCACCGCAGGATGACTCACCGCAGCCCCCACGCCTGCACCTGCGTGTGCGGCATGCCGACACTCACCTCGGCCTCCTGCGCGTGGATGGCATGTCTGGCAAAGTCAGCGCCGTGAGCGTCCACCGAGCGGTCTCACGGGGTCGTGCAGAGGTGTCTGCGTAATTAAATACAAGTTAAAAACCAGCGCCTGAGACGCATGCTAATGGCAGAGACTTCGGATTAAAGGAGTGTTCCAAACCTATTTAAATACCTTCAAGCTCTAGCAAATACCATAATTAGTTATTGTTCAGGTTGCGGGGGCCTAAATGCTCTTCAAATGCCGACTGTTTTCCTCCTGTTTAAAAAAAATAGTTTCTCAATGAGTATGTTTTAAAAATGAATGTTATGATCTTAAGTGATTCTAAGATAAGAAATCACAGAGTGGACTTCTTTATTTTAATTATTTATACATGGGTGAGCAAAGTAGATTTACAGTTAATGTGGAAGAAGAAATGCAGGCTATGATTATTACAGTGGCTCTGTTAACACAAACGACTATCACAGTGCAACTGTACGCCTACTTTTGCCCACCCCTATCTTTTAATTACAAATCGTAATAAAGAAGGCAAGCCCGGGAATTTGCAGTTTCTCATCACTGGGAAAGGGTCCCCCCACACCCTCACAGCTGACTCACTTCTCCATCAAGGACCTGCAGGGTTGAGATGGGAGACCAGTTGTAAGGATGGATGTTCTGGCTCCTAGGAACAACCTTGACACTTTTAACCGTATCCAGAGTGATTGATGTGATAGCTCCCACAGAGGCCTTTGGAAAACCATTTTTCTAAAGCTGAAAGGCAGAGGAGAAATCTAAACCCTTAGCAAGAATTTACCACATGAGTCTCAGGTGACTTGAGATTTAGAATTTGGAACCAGATGCTCTTAAAAACCAGCCCAACAAGCTATCATTGTCGGCGAGTCTCTTCAGAAATAGGTGTCAGCCTGTGACAGTAGCATGATCACCAGGTCTCTGTAAAACTAGATACTATTGAGGGCAAAGAAAAAACATGTCAAAATCTGATGGCCAAATGGTTGGCTTATTTCAGTGACTACACAGAGAGCGGTGAAAGCAGGTGAATCTGCCTCCAGATGACAGTGGGACAGGCAGGTGTTGCCTTTTGGGGCCAGTCCTGGAACACCGCACAGAGGGGCTTTCTTAGCGTGGCTTGCGGACGGCCGCCTCCCCCACAAACACAGCACAGAGCCGCACAGCGCTGCCCGCCCCGCCCAGAGCGCCGCCTGGGTCTCCCCCACCGGCCCCGCTCAGGTTTCCCCACTTTGCCTTTATTTTGTGTTGGCATTTATACCGTGACAGGAAAGGAGGCCAGAATGATTCTTCGGTCCTCCCCGCAAAGCAGGAGGTAGGGAAAGATGGCCTAGGGCCTGGAGCAGTTGGCGTCCACGTGGCAGGCGACAGAAGGTAGCCACTCCCAAGGGGCAAGGACCTGCCCCCCGCGCCACGCCCCACGCTCTCCTTTCAGCAGAGGGACATCTGTACCGTTTCCAGAGTAACTGTTTGATGTGGCAGCTCCCACAGAGGCCTTTGGAAAACAACTCTGGTCCCTCGAAATGGGGCCATTCTGTCCACAGGCCTTGGGAGTCAGCACTTCATTGAAGAGGGGACTCTCCCACCAACTTTTGTCCTTTACTCACATTACAAAAGCCTCCCAGGACTCTCCCTGTGACGAGGCCTCTCGCTAAGCCCGGCCTGGCTCCTGCAGTCTGACGGCCTGCCTGCGATTGACCTCCTGGGATCTGTGCTGTCCACACTCAGGGCAAGAGTTCAGACGCACAGTGATACCACCTTCCGGGAGCTTATGGGATGGCAAAGAAGGGGGGTTTCCTTGTCAGCACTGAGCTCGCCCCAGAATCCCAGTGCCGCCCCGGCCCCCAAACCAGACCGCCCTATGTCTCATGGTCCCCCAGCCACCAGGGCGGTTTCCTGCCTTATGTCTCCATCCCTGGACCCCTTCACTCCGTAAGCGAAATGTCACCCCAAAGTGGCAGCTAGCTTGCACAGTGTGGAACTTGGTGCCGCCCAGCTTCACGGCAGGGTTCTGTGGGGGCTGACACCTAACAGACTTCTGTGGGATCGTGCATGGAAATGTCAGGAGGCTAAAACTTAGGGAAAAGGTTCTTTATCAGACAATGAAGGAGCTTCTAGGACCGACACACGACTGAGACCCAGCATTTGAGTTTGTTTCCAGATTCTCCTTCTGGGCTTCGCCTTGAGTGAGGGTGTAGGAAGGGGTCACACAAGGACGCCGGAGCCGGAGCCGGAGCCGGAGGCTTGCTGTGTAGTTTGCATGACAGTTACCCCCTTATTAATAATCCGCACACAAAGTGGGGTGAACCGCCGACCCAGGAGTTCGCCCAGCTCTCCCAGGAGATCTGGGTCGCACTTTGGGGTGAGGGAGCCCTCCCGACAGAAGGTCAGTGACCAGCAGCCCCCACACCGGTCAGCGGATGTGGACACCTGCACAGCACCGCGCCCCAAACAGGACAGCACTGGGGATACGGCCCCCCGGAGGGCCTCTGGATAGGCCGGCCTCGGGGCCAGGGCCTGGCGCAGCCCGGCCCTGCAGGCCGCTGAGCCCGCTGAGCCCGCCTGGGGGTCACGGCCGTGTCTCTGCTTCCCCGCAGGCCCTGCCCTATGTCTGCCTGCTGATCGCCATGCTTTTCTTCATCTACGCCATCATTGGGATGCAGGTGAGCTGGTGCTCGGGGGGCCCGGTGGTCCCCAGCTCACCCCCGGCCGGTTCCCCAGGTCTTGTTGCGGTGTGACCTTGGGGATCTCCCACACGGCCAGGTGTTCAGGGTGGTCTGGTGCGGGGCCCTCGCCTGAAGTCGTGAGACCATGGTGAGCATTTATAAGCAGCGGGACTTCCATGGGCGCAGCAACAAAACCACAGCGAAGACAGCACCGGTGTTGTTGTCAGAGGGGACCCCATGAGCCTCAGGAGGGGGCAGGGCTCATGCTGATCCCTTGCTCAGGGTCTCCTGTGTCGGAGCCAGGCCTGAGAAGCAGTCCGATGGTGGTTCTTCCGCATCCAGAGACACAAGATGTGTCTGAGCTGAGTCCTGAATGGCCAAGCTTTGTGCCCTCAGACGCATCACTGGAAACAACTCGCAGAGTTCTGGGCGGCACGCCAAACCCTAGACCCCAGGGCCAGTCCCAGCTGATTCCCCTCACAGGGCCCCGCAGCTTGCTAGACAGTTCTCTTGGGGTGTCCTTTCCAGGCCTGGAACTGAGAGGCGGAGATCAGCTTCCCGCCCTGGGTATTTATGCAGGTGGCCAGGGGCCCACTGAGTAGAAGAGGCCAAAGCATCTTTCAGAGGCAGCTGTTACTGATGGTGGGTGGGCTCCTACTGGAAACCAACAGCACCGCAGCCCGAGGCCCTCCCCGGCTGGGCGCGTGGCTTGCTGGTCTCGGGGGGCTGGCTTTCTGACCTGGAGGTAGGAACATGAAACCCCCGCACAGAGCTTCAGCCAAATGGCAGCCTCCTGCAGCCGGCGGCCCGGCCGCCTTTGGCCTGCCAGAGGCCTCTTCCCGGGCACCTGCCGTGCAGAGCCATCGGCACGTGTCCCAGGTGTGCGGCGTCCTCAGCCCTTTCCAGAGCACCTCTCACAGTCTCTGCTTTTCGCTCTCCTCTCTCGCTTGCACTACTTAACTTTGTTCATCTTCTAACCTCATTACTGGAGAGTTTTGTTCTCCAAAAATACAATAGAACATCAAGTGTCCAAAAGCACGAGGCGTGGTTGGAAAGTAATGAGTTCTCCTTCACGGAGGACATTTCAGCAGAGATTTAATGATGCTGGCTGGGGGGTGTTATAAGCTAATCCCAGCGAACTTCACGAGTGGCTTGATGACTTCTATTAAGTCCCTTCAAACTCTAAAATATTTGATTCTGGGATTAAAGTGTTCTCGTACAGCCAAATGAAACTTAAGTTCTTTCTTGCTTATGCTTAAAAATAAGCCTTATCCCCTCTTTCATTTTCAAACCATATAAATGAGAATTATACCAGCTCCAATACTAACCAGCTGTTAATACTACTGATAATGATGCTAATGGTGTTTACCATTACTTGAATTTCTGAGTGTGCCAGACACGTGCTAAATGTCTGTTCTTGCTCCCCTCCCCTCGTGTGTGTATAATATATATATATATACATATATATATATATATACATATATATATATATATATATATATATATATATAATATACGTGTACGTGCACATATGAGAGAGAGGGAGAGACAAAACTTCTAACTGGAAAGGCTGTTCCTCACGTTGTCATAACAAGGCAGAGAGGTCCATACAAACAGAAAGGCAGACAGGCAGTAGACAAAGTAACAGCGGAAAGATAAACAGCAACAAGGTGTCTTTCTGAGCAGGACCGTTCTTCTGGACTTCCCAAGTCTTGGAAGAACAGAGGGTGGAAGGAGGGAGAGCTTGCTGGGGAAGGAGAAGCGCCCTGTGCTCCACGCCCTTACGGGAGAGGCTTTCAGCCTTGGAGGAGCCGCGCAGACCTGGTCGGGCCCCTGAACCCCTCTGGGCTAGTGCCCTCCCAGCACAGCCGAGGAGCTGGATAGGTGGCTTCACGGGTCCGTCCTCGTTCTAACGTTCTGTGACTCCAGGTGGAAATGGATTTAAGCCTATACTTTCAGTAAGTTTGCTGATGGATCTCAGTATCCCTTCTTTCTTTTCTATACCCATTTGATGCAGGAGATTTGGTTCAGTGACAAGGACTAAGTGAAAACCTAAAAAGAAAGAAAACAAAAAAAAAAATTCTAAACACCACCTTCACAATAAATACACGTTTTTGGCTTGAAAATTTGCTTGGAGTACGTTCAGGATAAGCTTCGGTCCTTTGACTGTGGTTCACGTGCCTCATGCCGAATCACAGCCTGCCCTCTACCCAGCTCTTGTTGGAGAAGGTGTTTGAGAAGGCCGGGCGGGCTTCAGGCCATCGCAGGCGGGACGCACACCAAGTGTCGCGTGCGCGATGAGTCGGGGCACCTCTCGGACTCTGAGCCAAGAGGGCGGAAACACAGGAGACGGGCACACAGACGAGGGGGCTGACAGCTTCCGCTGGAGCTTCCAGAATTAGATGTGATTGGGACTTTTTTCTGTGCTGCTGTCTGTCTGTCTGGGAGCCTCTTCTCATCTTCCTCCCGCCCCACTTCCCCAGTGCTGCCTAGCCTGCCCCCTCCACTCTGCCTGAGAGACAAGTAGTATTTGGGTTTTGAAAAGCAACGTTAAGAACAAATTCCCAAAGCAGGTGTCAGTGGGAGTTGTATGAGCAAAATAGCTGGGGGCAGAGATTGTTCCTCAATTGCACATGCTGCGAACTGTGAGGGGGGAAATATGTTGCATTTAGCATACATTCGATAAACGGAAGCATGTTAACTACAGGCTGAGAATTGTCTCTAGTGGCTGGCGAAGGGACCCGAGAGCCTGCAGCTGTACCAAGAGTGACCTGATGCTGGAGCACGGCTGGGGAGGCGGGCGCCCGCGGCGGGGCCCTGCCCACCCGGAGAGCCTTCGGGCGACCTTGGCTGCGGGCAGCCCTGTGTCGGGGTCGGTCTTTACTCACTGTCTGCAGAGAAAGATCTCTGGGTTTTCCCCATTTTTTTCCCATGAGTTGGCACGGTGACCGCATCCTCAGCCTGGCGACCAAAGACAGATGAGTAAACTCACTCTGTAGCCAGATGTGCCCAAAACCAATTCCTTCAGCATCTTCCAAGCACCCGCTTGTCCTGAGCCCCGCATCCTACCAGCCTGGGCTTTTTAGGTGTGTGTGCTCTGTGTGTGCTCATCCTGGTGGACTGTGGTTTGTAGGCCTCTCGACCTTCTGAACTTGGTCTCTTTGGAGAGGAGCGCCCCCAGGAGGATGGGAAGGCCCCTCTGTGACCTAACTGCTTGTGAGTGTCAGGGCAGCTCCTTCCCAAGCCGCGAATCCCGTCTTCCGCGGACAGAGGGCCCCATCATCACGGCCTGAGGCGGCAGAGCAGGGCAGCTCCGAGTCTGCGGCGGGGTCCCGTCCGGGACAGACCGCCGGAGCACCGCAGAGGGGGCTCCACGGAAATAAAAAGACCAGGTTGGGTGTGGGTGGAATGACGTACAGGCAGAGCGGTTTCCAAAGACCTTGCCTTCTGTGGGCTGCTTCTCACTGCTGGTCAGGCCACGAGCCTGGGGCCCCCGGCCCCCGGTGTGAGTCGTCTGCTTCGGGGTGAGGCCATCACGAGGAGCCCGCGCGTGGATGGGCCGGCCCGTGGGTGCCTCTGATGTGCATGCGCTTCGCGCGTCACACAGCCCAGTAATGCTCACTGCCTGCTGCTGTTTTTCTCCCCAAGGTGTTTGGAAATATAAAGTTAGACGAGGAGAGTCACATCAACCGGCACAACAACTTCCGGAGTTTCTTCGGGTCCCTCATGCTCCTCTTCAGGTACCTGGACACGTAGCTGCTGTGGCTGGACCCTCCTGCCCAGGGGACACAGCTGCTCTTCTGTCCCTTCATGATCCTCTGGCTCTGCTCCTGTCAGATTACAGTGGAGTCGGGGCAGGAGCGGGCGGGGGCAATGGGACGTTAGAAAGTTTCCTCACCGTCTTTGACCTGGTAGTCAATTTGCAAATTGCAGCTTCAGTGTGTCCTTTGGGGCCCTCAGAGGGGGGAGGCGAGGACAGTTTCTTGCCTATCACGTTCCTTTTAAGGCTTGAAACCTTAGATGGCCAGGCTTGTGTGGGGTCCCAGAAAGTCCCACCACGATCAACAGAGATTCTTCCAAAAACAGAGAAGCAGTGGGTGAGGGGACAGAGCCCCAGAGAGACACCCCTGGCACACTCCATCCCAAGGGCAAAGCAAGCCTGTGGGGTCCGCAGCTAGAGATGGGGGTGGGGGAATTGGGGGAAGAGGCCCAGGAGAGGAGAGGACAGGACAGACGTGCACCTGCTGCTAGTAACCAAGGTGTCTTTCGGGCGCAGGAGCGCCACCGGCGAGGCCTGGCAGGAGATAATGCTGTCGTGCCTCGGGGAGAAAGGCTGTGAGCCCGACACCACGGCACCGTCGGGGCAGAACGAGAATGAGCGCTGCGGCACCGACCTGGCCTACGTTTACTTTGTCTCCTTCATCTTCTTCTGCTCCTTCTTGGTGAGTAGTAGCACTACAAGGTGGCCCGATCCACCCCCATCCCCCCCACCCCACCCCACCCCCCGCCGATAAACAGACGCGCGAGGTCTCTTTGAGTGGATGGTCGCGTGTGTGCGCTCCAGCCTGCTGCCGCCGCGCCTGGGCAAGGATTGCTGTGAGCAGGGACGGTGGCGGGGGGGAGGGGCAGGGGCCTGTGATCAGAGCGGGGAACCCCATGTTGAATCTGTTGTGACCCACGGTAAATCCTTTCTCCCCTGTTCCTCGATGTTTTATAAGTAAGGCTAAGAGGATCATCTCTCTCTCTGGGGGCCTTTGAACTGTTTGAGAAAAGGTGATAGCGTTGATGAGAGTGGAATGATGGCAACATGCAGTGCAATAGGGCGATTCTCTGTTACACCCTAATGTGTGATGCCGGGTGGCCGGCCTGATAGACGGGAAAGGGTATGATCGCTCCCCGTATTGGTAGATGCTGGGTAGCATCTGCGGAGCACACCCACTTAGAGAAGTGAGAAGCCCTCCCTGCCACCTTTGCTCCTTCTTCGGGAGAAAGCCCGAATCCGCACTCCGGCACCCAGAAGTCTCTGCACTGCCCGATCAGGCCGGTGGAGACACACAGAACGGTGATGGCGGTGTCGCCGCCAGGTCAGTGACGGGGCCGGCCGGGTGTTTCTGACCACCCGACAGCCTTCCACCCAGCACTTCCGCTGGCTCACTGGCTGTGCAAAAATCTGAAACTAACATAATGCCTCTGAAAAGCGCTCAATTTCATGGCCCTCCATCAACATTGTCTGAATCGATTGTCTGTCATCCAGGCATTTCTACCTCTAACGTGAGCCTGAGGCACTTGCCACATGTCCTGCCCCCAGGTGTGGGGAAGTGGCTCGCATGCAGACGAAGAATGACCAGCAGGTCGCGTGCAGAGAGTGAGCTAACTGCCACACGAGCAGCCACATTGCGTTCTGGGCTTTGCCGCTCTGTGGGATGGGAGGCCAAGTGACTTGATGATAAGAGTATTATTTGCATGGTGAGCGGATACATGTGTTTTAACACACAAAACAGTATCCTACTTAGAAATACGGAAGTAGACTGTCCAATGAAAATCACTGAAAAGCAATTTAGAGTGATATTAAATGGAGTTCTAAGTTGATTCATTCCCATAGTCGGCGCACCTGTGTTGAGCGGCACCGCTCGGGCAGGCCCCGGGGGGCAGCTGGGAGCTCGGGGCCCGGCATCGCCGGCGGCCGAAGGGCGGAAGGCACGCAGGGGCCTCAGCGCTTACAGGTGGGGTGAAACGGGGCGTTAGAAGGACATGTAGACACCTCAGTTTTATCTACATGGTGTGTTTAATAATAAATATGCAAAAGAAACCAAAGATATAACTGGAAAATTAGACACTATGAAGGTGCTGTTAGAACTTTGAGATGGAGGATGCTACATAATTCACATTAATGTTCTTTTTAAAGAGGCTACATTCAGTCTGAGAGGCTGATTTCAAACCTCAGCCCTCGAGGAGACCGACGTTGTGACCTTGGGCAAGTCACACAGCTTCCCAGCTCAGAGCGACCGCCTGGGAAGGTTCACTGACGCGCTGCGATGTGCCAGGCTGTGTGCCTGGAGCTGAGAGGGCCGAAGTGTGTAGGAAGCACTGCGTCCTTGAAGGACTGTTGGCAATTAAAGCCGCCTCCTGAAAAGTCAGAGCGAGCAGGAAAACAAATAATGGGTGTGAATGTGCGTGCGCACCGTTATAAATGACTATGCAAATGTAAAGCAATAATAAATACTTATGAGTTTGTTAACATTAATAGTAGGTACCGAGAAAGGAGTGTAGAAGAAACATGGATGCGTGGAAAATCCTTGAGAATCTCTGCAGCTATTGAGTGTATTCACTGTGACTCCAGTGTCAGCCACGGAAAGAGGGGAGCCTGCTGAGCTCAGGTTCAGCCTCATGAGACTGAGCTCCCCGAACAGCAGTGGCTCCACCAAGAGGGATGTTTCTTTCCCTTGAATAGCAGCAAAGCCTGAGGAAGGCAGTACAGGCTTCTGGTGGCTGCACAGAGGGGTTGGTTAGGGATCTGCACTCCTTCTGAACCTTTGCCTCCAGGAGGTCCCTCATCCTCCTGAGGCTGGACCCCCGGGTGTCCACCTATATTCTAAATGGAGGGAGGCAGGCAGACTATTATCACAGTGGGGCCAGCAGCCTCTGTATTGCAGAGAACCCCCCACCAGGTCCTCCTGCACACTCCTGCCTGCCCCGCCTGCACCCCCGGCCCCTCCGTGCACCCAGCCACGTAGCCTGGGAGTCGGCAGCAGAGACTCCTAGTCTCTCAGCCCCACAGCCTCTCCCACTGGTCTCTCTCAGGCAGGACTCCTCACTTGCACGTGTCATGAAGCCCAGCTACATCTGGCCGAAGCAGAAAGGGATTTTGTAGGCACACAGCGACAGAGTCTTGGGGTGGGCAGGCTGAAGCAAGCGTGGCCTGGGGCTCCCAGGACATCACCAGGACCAGGGGGCTTTTTCCATGTGTAGCTCTCTGGCTCCAGGCTCTTCCATGGGACCCCTTTTCTTCATCACCCCAGCCTGTGGCTCCGGAAGACCGCAGCAGTCCCTGAACGTTCAAGGCCAGCGGGGAAGAGCGGGGATTTTGCCAGGGAGGTTCAATGCCATCTCACGGGCCTTGACTGGCTCGCCTGTCACTGTGGCCCAGGAGAATGGCATCCAGGGCCTGGCCGAGGCCTGGCTCCCAGGTGGTATGCCCCTGAACCACATTAACCAGGAACAGACAAGGGGTGGGCCCCCCAAAGGGGCAGCCGTACAGTCAGCAGGTGCTGGGCAGCCAGGAATCGAAAAGAGCGCGCGCTGTCCACTGTGGGCGCCTAGTCCTGTCAGTGCACCTTCCTGTCGCTCTCCAGCCGGCGCTGCTTGCCTGCCGCTGGCGCGGTCCGGGGCCCGCGGCACCCTCCACGCTGCCACTGAGCGCCCCTGTGCATGACAGAGCCCTTGGCCTCTCTCCTGGGTCCACCCCCTTTGGTGGTTCCTGGAGCCTGTCATGTAAATCCGGGTCAGCAAACTATTGCCCGCGGGTCAAACAGGTTTACTGCCTCTTTGTTTAAAAAAAAAAAAAAAATGGTTCTTACATTCTTAAATGGTTGAGGGGGGAAATCAGATATTTCATGACGTGAAAATTCGATGAAATTCAAATGCACACTCTTCTGTTTCCACTGTAACCTGCATATGCTGCTTATTGGCTCTTTATAAAAAAATCTGTAACGTTTATATATTTGCAATATGTCACAGTCTTTACTAAACACTAACTAAGCCTTTAAGAATACTCAAGCATCAACATCTAGTGAACGCCTGCTGCGCCATAAGCAACATGCCAGGCATGGGACTCTGCTCTGGATGAGAACTTCCCTACCCCCCATCCCCAGCACCTGGGTCTCTGTTTGGAATACAGTGGGTAGACAATAAATGTTGTTGAACAAGTAGGTGGGAGAGGAGGATCTTGGAAGCCTCTCAAGAGCTGTGAATAGCGTTAAGTTGGCACACAGCGAGCCACACAGTCGCCTCTGAGACATCTCACCACTTCTGTGATGGAGTAAGGGTGGGGGAGGGGCTGGAAGGGAGGGTGGGAGTCAGGCCTTGACTTCCTCTAGCCTTTCCGCACATTGTCGCTGCTGCTCCCTCTGCTGCTACAATAACAGTTACGTAAATTGAACAGATAACAAAGGCAAAAAGCTACTGTGGAGCGCTTTGCAGAGAGAAAGTGGCACAGGAAACAAACAATGCTGTCTGCACAGCGGAGTGTGTGGCGCAGATAGTACAAACACGGTGCCTTCAGCAAGAGCCACGGGGCTTCCGTGAGGGCCGGCAGCCCTCTGGGCCATGGAAGCGCTCTGCGGCGCTGGGGCCTGGCTTTCCGCGTCACGTTTCCCCCCGCTCTCCTCTTCTCCCCTCCTGCCCTCCAGATGCTCAACCTGTTCGTGGCCGTCATCATGGACAACTTTGAGTACCTGACCCGGGACTCGTCCATCCTGGGGCCTCACCACTTGGACGAGTTTGTCCGCGTCTGGGCAGAGTACGACCGAGCTGCATGGTGAGTAGGCTGCTTGCGCCCAACGCCTGGGGACCTGTGTCGGGGGCCTCTCCAGGTGTCAGGGAAGAGGGTGGCATTAGAGGTGCCCAAGTGCTTGCCGTGCAGAAGGAGAGGAGATTCCTCCCGGTTGTGGCCCACTGGCAAGGCTGGGTCCCCAGCGTGGCTCTGGCATCTAAGACGTGGCTTCCCCCTGACCCCCCCACCCCTCTGTGACAGGCTTCCCTTTCCTTGGCCGGTCTTGTCACCCTGTCCACACCTCAGAGGATTTGGGTTCAAGCTCCAGAGGAGCTTCCGACAGTATTTCTTCTTTTCCTGCTTCATGCTCAGTGGACCCCTTTGAGTCTTCGGCGGTGGGGGGGAGCGGGGCGTGGACAGGGACTTTCTGGCCCAACTGGCCATCTGGCCACCATGGTCAGCGATGAGTGTTTTATGTCTCTCATCCCTCTCATAAGGTGTTGTTTGAGGTAAACTGAAATTATATGAAAAACCAAGCAAGTTGCCCTTCCAACCGATCCCTTAAACACCTGAGGATTTTATTCCATGAAACTGGAACCTGGGTTAGATGCCAGGAATTTGTGGGTCCCTCTCACAGTGATGCTGGGCCCTCTGGGCCTCGGAGCGGGGGTCAGCCGCGCAGCCCACGGCCGCACGCAGCCCGTGCCTGGCCTCACAGAAAGCGTTTCACTGGGCCGCCGCGCCCCCGCACTGGGGGGGGGTGTCCAGGGCTGCCGTCGCCCCACACGGCAGAGCCCAGGTGCTGTGACAGAGGCAGTGTGGCCCTGAAGGTCACAGCGGCTTCCTCTCTGGCCTTCAGAGAACAAGGTTGCCGATTCCCGCTTTAGAGTTCTGAGGCAGCACGTTGGCCCTCGTGGCTGCCGATGGGGCGAGAGTGCCCTCAGCGCTCCCCGCCCCCCAGGCCCTTTCCTGTCCCACGTCACCGTAGCTTTGGGGTTGCAGCTCACCAGTCTGTCCATTCCGGGCACCCTCTGAAAGGGCTACAAGAAATGCCGTCCTTCACAGGAACGGGCCGCGTTGCTTCCACCTGGACCCCCTCCTAGTCTGACACTCGGCCCCAAATCGGCCCTTCAGGAGGCTGTTGGACTTGGGTCACTGCTTTCTGGGTTAGAACCGTGAATCAAGACTCCTCTCGGGGTACAGGGTTCTCTAGATCGTTCCCATGAAAAGGCTGAGCGATGGCATTTACCTCCTGGGCTTGCTTTCTAGCAGGCGGGGGCCGAGGAAGCCCTGGGCAGGGGGGGCGGGGGGTGAGGCAGCTGGGCCTGCGCCTGCCAGCTCCGTGGCCTCGCACAGGGCGCCTGCCCGCTCTGCGCTTCCTCATCTGTAAAATGGCGGTAACGACACCGACCTTGAAGGCTGGCTGTGAGGATTCTGTTAAATGACGTGAGTAACTGACTGTGACTGACAGGAACCACACAGGAAAGTGACTGGCAAGGCTGGAAAATCGGGCTGGAAAGCATGGATGGCCATGAGCCTGGGAGCCTGAGAGAATCCAGCTGCCGGCCCAAGAGTTCCTTGCTCCCCTCACCCCGCTCAGTTGTCCTCGGCTCCCAGAAACCCCCGCTTCCTGTGGGTTCACGTTATCTTGGGACCCCGATGCCACGTGCGTTAAGCATGCCACTCCCCACTCATTGCGGCTGCTGGGATGAAGCAGTTCCACGAGGACGACTCCTGAGACTTAGCTGCACGAGCTGTGAGAGAGCGAAAAGGAAAAAGAGCTCTTCCATCTGCTTTGACCTTCATAGCGTAACTTGTCCTGGTTAGCGGTTTGTGGGTCCTGTCTATGAAATTGGGGGGTGGGGGACCAGCAAAGACAGTGAGCCGGTGTCTTCAAAAGGAAGACTGGCACAGGGTGCAGGGACCATCAGCCTCTAGACAGCGGCAGTACCAGCCGTCCACGTCCCAGTCACAGTCAGAGAAACCGACAAACGAGTGGTTAAATTTAGCCTCCCCTCAAGAGTTAGGAGACTTGGAAACACTATGAGCTGCTCTTTGGAAGAAGAAGAGGAATCCACACCAAAAGCAAGAGCAGGTTAGAAAGAGCGAAGCTGGGGCGAAGCCCTGGGCTCCACGTGGCTGCTGGCGAGGACTGGTGCTCGGAAGTGGGGACCCCGCTTCATACCAGGGTGCGTCCAGAGCCCTGGCTGTCCCTTTCTTGTCCTGGCCCCTACGGACTAGATGCTTTAGCCACTGAAAATGAATCGGTTGTTGGTTCTGTCCTTTCCACAGGAAACCAGAACTCTCCAGCAGGCGCGTGGGGAAGGGGGTTGGCAAGGTGGATCTCATAGCGAGAATACTGGGAGTCTGCCAGGATCGGACCGAGCTGCCCACGGGCCGGGCAGTGGCGTGGAGCTGGGAGAGGACGCGGTCTGGACACAAGCCCCGGCAGGCGCCCCAGGCTGGGGAGAGCTCGCCCAAGCTTCGCTCAGGACAGATCTGCCACTAACGGAAGCACAACCCTCTGCAGCTTCCCTCGTGCCAACTATGCTCCTTGCTAATTAGCCTAATGGGAAATGTGCCTCTCACAGCCTGCAGGAAGACGCCGGCTTCCTCCCCGCCCGACAAGTGGGTCTGAGGGGGGGACTGTTGGCTGCGTCTGTGAAAAACAAACCACTCCGCCGTCCACTTCCCAGCAGCCTGGCACCTGCTCTTCACAGCGGCCAGAGCATTGGTGAACTGGCGGGCTTCATTGCTTGAGGCCCTGAGCCGGGGTCCATGTCCTGCATCTGGCCAGCTGTGGGCCAGGTTGGCATCTTGGGGGGCTCTTGGTCACAAGGCAGCCCCTTGGGCATGGGACGGGCTCAGTGGCCTTAGAAAACTGGGGCGATGATGCAGTTCGCAAACTGCCGCTTCTCTCATGCCTCGGTTCTCGGTCTCTCGTGGCCTGACTCTGCGGGCCGGAAAGAAGCCGCCCTTCCTCCTCCGGCCACGCCCTGGCGGCTGAGCTGCCGCTGCTCCCCCACCTCCTCTGCCTGTCCTATTAACCCACTTCTGCTTCCTTTGCAGTGGCAGGATCCCGTATAAGGATATGTACAAATTAGTGCGGGTCATCTCGCCGCCTCTGGGCCTGGGAGAGAACTGTCCCTACAGGGTGGCTTGCAAGGTTTGCCTCCCAGTCCCCAGCCGCGCCTGGCGGTGGGGCGCGCCCGGGAACCCCTCCTCTCTGTCCGCTCTGCCGCCACCGTGCCTCCTGAGGGAGCCTTCATGCTGCTTTCCTTGGAGTTTAAAGAGATCCCGACCCTCCCAGAACCAGCAGCTGTTACAGTAGGAAGAAGGGCACGTTTTGCGGGGAAGGCAGGAAAAAAAACAGTCAAGGGCTTAATAACAAAGGCCAATTCTACCTGTCACTTCACGTGCCCGCACTCATTCATGCGTGGACAGACACGCGCTGTCTCCCCGCTCCACTGTCACCTGCAGATTTAAGGAGAGTGACCTCTCCCTCCTGGGGAGGAGAAATCTTTAAAAAGCAAAGAGTTCTGGGTTCCCCCTCCCTGGACACAGACATGCCTCCTTTAGCAAAGTAGCAGCGACGTCCAGTCTGGGATGTCGTTGGGAGTGGTTCTGGCCGCCCTGCCTCTGGCAGTTTGGCCAAAGCGATTATAAAAGCTATCGGAAGGGAAGGAGGCGAGAGACTCTTCTTATGAAGAACTAGGGCTCAAGGCGAGAGTAGGTAGAAGAAGATCATTTTGCGGGGGTGCAGAGGGGCTAGGAAGGTTGCAGGAGGGCACGTTTCCTGCCTTGGGGGCCTGCCACGTATTCTCAAGGGGGCCCAGGGGCTCTGCTGGCTTTGAAACCAAGAATATGTTTAGTGGCATCCAGGACTTCCCTCTGCAGCTCTGCTAGACCCGGGGAGCTCTAAACATCCCCGTGGCTCTGCCCAGCCATGTCCAAGGCCGGGTCTGCCAGATAAGGAGGGCGCTCCGGCGCTGCAGAGGGGCGTGCGGGCTCCCCGGGGCGTAGCACAGCCCAGCGGGGGGTGCCGACCTTGGCCGACGGGCAGGAGCCGGCTTGGGGCGGTGATGGAGTGATCCCTGTACGCGGGAGGCCGAACAGCTGCCTCCGCTGAGACTCTTTAAACTTGACCCTGGTGAAACCTGCAGCCGCATGCGGGGACCGCTGGGGAGGGCAGCATGGCATGCAAGGCGCTCTTCCTCCCCCGGCTTTGTTTCCTCTGTCCCCAGCACGCGTGGCCCTGGGACATGCTGGGGAGCACAGAGCCCTCTTCTCCGCAGAGCCAGGTGGAAGCAACGGGCAGCTCTGCCGGCAGCCGCAGCCCATGCCTTTCACGGCGCCGCCGCCACCTCCCGCTGTGCACACGGCCCAGAGGGGGATACACGGCCTCCCGCCTGTGGGTTCCGAGCAGGAGACAGGCCCAGTTCCGGCCGCCCCTGGAAACCCTAACCCACAGCCGGAACGCCGTCTATCTGGTTTATACCGCTCGCACACAGCCCTGGGAAGAGAGAACGCGCTTGTGCTGTGTGGGGCACGGCGGCCTGGCCAGGGAAGTAGGGTGATGCTCACCCAGGAGGAGCAGGCAGACGGGTCCCATGACCGTGCGCACGCAAGTCCGAGGGACCACAGGGTGCCACCGGCGTTCCCGGGTCTGTGTGGGGCTGATATAAATCCGCACCAGGATGGAGTCACCTATACGATTTGCCTTGATTAACAGGTTTCCTATTCTTCTCCTGTTTGTCCATTTTGTTTCGTTTTCCTCTCCTGTTCTCCGTATGATTTTGTCTGTCTGTCTTGTCTTGGCTCTTCTGGGAATGCCTGTTCTCCCCGCGCCCGTCTGCATCCCCCCCACTTCCCTGCCCTGCCACCTGCCCTGCCGCCCCCACTCGCCGCCCCTCCATGACCAGTGGCCGCATCCATTACACTGAGATGTATGAAATGCTGACTCTCATGTCACCACCGCTAGGCCTCGGCAAGAGATGTCCCTCCAAAGTGGCATATAAGGTAGACCACCCCTTCCTTTATTCTGGGCTAGAGACCAACAGGAAATGGGATCCGGCTGTGGGAGGAAGCCGGGCTCGGGAGGCGGAGGAGGGAGCCCAGGGAAGAAGCAGCGATGGCACTGCCTGGTCAGGAAGGGGCACGGCAGGACGCCGTCCCGAAGTGCTGCAAAAGACGGTTTGTGATCCTGCGCACCGGGGGCTTTGTCACGTGGTCCTCTGTGGTTCCGGCAGCTGCGTGGCTTCCCGTGAGTGGGCTCCTGGAAAGGAGCCATTCTGTGGCGCGTCTGCTTTCAGAGGAGGCAGAGTGGTGGCCTGCAGGGGACTTAGAGCCAAACCGCTCTCTGTATAAAGAAAGCAGCGCCTTCGCTCCAATAAGCTAAGGAGATAGTGCGGACATTCCTCTAAACGTGGTTCAAGAAATTTTTTAGGAGAGAGGAATACTCATAACAAACTTCATTCTCCATGACATCAAAAGGAACTACGGCATGGTTCCTTCTAAGCCACGGGGTGGGGGGGCGGTGGGGGGGGGAATGACCTCTGCCCCATGACCCCATGATGCAGGGGAAAGGACGCCGCTCCCTGCCCCACCAGCCCACTGCCCACTTGTCTGGGCAGGGCAGGGGAACGGGCAGCGGTGGGCGTGAGGCATCCAGGGTGAGTTCCCTCCCTGGCAGGCCGGAGGTGTGGGGTCTGGCCCTGGAGTCGTGGGTGGGACCCCTGGCTTGCACAGAGCAGCATTGTCCATTGGGAGACCTTCAGCTGCATGTAGCTTTGAGGCCCGAGTTAGTCTGGTTTTTTCCCCCTCCACAACCAGCAGTCATTACTGTTCGCTCCCCTTTGGTGTCGAGGCCGACCCAGAACTCGGGAGCTCTTTCCTTCACCTGGGACTACTCCACAGCAGGGCTGCCACGTCCCTGGAAGCTTCAGGAAGTGGGAGAGAAAGGGAACTCAGATACAGACAGGAAATGGACTTGACCCTCAAAGGCACCACGTCCGTGGAGCCATGCTAGGCAAGGTGTTCCCATGGGGTCTTAGAGACGCTAAAGCCGGCGGTCCTTCCGGGGCACCCTGCCCACTCCGAGCTGTGTAGCTGCAAAGAGCGTGTCACTGGAACGGGGCCCACTCGGGACCCTCGTAGCCCCAGGACACGCTCCTCATGCACAGCCCAGGGGCTGGCATCCTCTTTGCTCATTATGGCCCCGTCCAAAGTACCAGATGGTGGAGTGTGGCCCTGAGTTCTCTGAATTTCTGGGATGAAGCTTGGTAAGAGGAGTGTCGGGACAGGAGGAAGCACTGAAAGAATTGCAAATGCGAGATACTCTCTGGGAAGTGGATCTGGCCATTTCCGCTGGCCCCCTTCCTCGGGTGAGGGGAACACGGCCTGCCCACTCTGCTCCTGCCTTGGTCGCCCTTCTCTCATGCTCCCCCTGCTCCCTGACCGCTCTCCCCGAGCCCTGCCTGCGCTCTCCCCTTTCCCCTCCTGCTCCACCTCATCCGTTGGATCAGGGGGACTTGTGCATGTTCAGTCGCGTGCTGGCAAATTCCATCTTTTCAAGACTCAAAAAGGGGGCATCAGGATGTGTCTTTCAAGTCAGATATGCAAGCGAAGTCTGCCCCCTCGCTGCCTTCTGTCTGAGCTCCGGGGGTGTTCACGGGACACGTGGAAACACAGAGCAGCCTTGAAATGGGGAACAGAGCCACCTCGCAGAGCTGACTCCGTTCCCTGAGCCACTTCTTCCGGAAATCACTTCCCGTCCCTGCGAGAGACATTCTTAGGACCCTGGAGGAGTCCTACAGAATGAGTAGTCCCCTGAAATCTGGCATCATTCCCTGGGGGGAAAACACAGCAGCAAACCAGCACCCAGGGAGAAGCAGGGAGAGTAGGGGCGGGAGAGGGTGGGGATCCTTGCCCTTCTTTTTTGTCTCTGCATTTGACCCCTGCCCTCCTCTTCCCGCCTCACCAAGGTTTCCTTTGATGTGTGTTTCTTCCTCACACACAGAGGTTGGTCCTGATGAACATGCCTGTCGCCGAGGACATGACAGTCCACTTCACCTCCACCCTGATGGCTCTGATCCGCACAGCCCTGGACATCAAAATTGCCAAAGGTGAGCGCAGGAGGCAAAGGCGATCGGGCAGCAGCTCACGCCGGGCGCAGCGGGACGCAGGTGTGTGAGCTCCAACCCCCCAGCGCTGCAGTGACCTGGGAATCAGATGTCAGGGTCCCGGTTTCAGCCTGAGATTCAGGAACTACAACAGTCGTCATTTCCTCCTGGTAAAAGGACGGGTTTGCTCATCGCTAAGGCTCCTTTCAGCTTTAACAGTATGGGATCCCCAGTGTCTGGCACGTAGTAGGCATTTTAGACATGTGTGTTTATGGTACAGGTGAGTTTTTCATTTTGTCCTTTTTTTCCTCATGTGGCAACTTTAGTGTCGTGGAAGGTGTCCGTGGCGGGTGCTGGCGTGGCTGTGCTGGCTTCTCTGGCCTTTAACTTGGTGACGCAGGAGGGAAAAGGCTTCCTGCCTCCAGCCTTCCTGCTCTCGCCTGACCCAAATCCTTTTTAAAGTCAGGTCACTGCAGAGTCAGAGCCGCAGGAAGAATCGAAGTCCATGCAGTGCGGTGGGGAGGCTCCCGCCGGGCCCTGTTCATTTTCCCCAGGTGCACCTGGGGCTTCCCCAGTGAAGGAGGAGGCTGCTCCCGGGCTCAGGGCCTCGGAGCTCATGGCAGGGTCTCCCTGAGTGACTACAAATGGGCATCAGATTGCATTCTGCCGCCTCAGCAGAAAGACCCAGAAGCGCAGGATCTACAGGCCCTCAGGGCCAGGATTTCCCAGGACCACCAGGGGCCGAGCTGGCTCTGCTCCCCGCTCCCTTGGCCCTCGTTGTTTTTGTGCCTGTGCGGTGGAGTCATCACTTACCTCGTTCTAGGCGGCGCTGACAGGCAGCAGCTGGATTCGGAGCTGCAGAAGGAGACCCTTGCCATCTGGCCTCACCTGTCCCAGAAGATGCTGGATCTGCTTGTGCCCATGCCTAAAGGTACAGTATCTCCTCCTGGGCACCCTGGTCACAGTGGGCCAAGGCCACATCTTTGCGGGAGACACAGAGTGATGGAGAGAGAAAGGAAACGTGTTATTTTCTCCTTAGGAAATGAAAATCCCTCACTTCTCAAGTCCCTTTTGTCATTATTAATTGAGAACATTGGGTCGCTGTGGTTGCAGGTGAAAGTTTTGGGTGTGGAGCTCTCCCCCTCCCCGTGATACTGTGCCGCAGGCCCCCGCGTGGTTGGGGAAGGGGTGTTGTTACCAGAGATGGAAATGCAGACCCGTGGAGGAGATGCTTGCTCATGTCCTCGCCCTCCTCGGGTGGCTGTGGGAGCTCCCTGAGGAGACACGTGGGGGCCTGTTCACTGTGTCTCAGTGCCTGGTGCACGCCTGCTCCAGAGGGTGGGGAGCAAAGCTTTAGAGCGTCCTCACTCCCGCCTGTCTTCTTCCTGATCCCTCCCTGGCACATTTGTATTTTTCAGCCTCTGACCTAACTGTGGGCAAAATCTATGCGGCAATGATGATCATGGACTACTATAAGCAGAGTAAGGTGAAGAAGCAGAGGCAGCAGCTGGAGGAACAGGTGAAGGTCAACAGCAGCAGGGTGGGTGGGTGGCTCATGAGTCACACGAGGGCTCCCGAGGGACAGGCCTGCGCATCTCTGGGCGCCGCACCCCCAGGTGCTTAGCAACGGAGGTGAGGGGTACAGGGCGCAGGCGCTTCCTAGGGTTAGGGTGTTAGAAACTATGGGATTAGAAATGCTGTGGGTCCAAGGTTAAGATGGTCAAACGAGGCATCTGCCACGCTCCCATTTTACCCAAGCACGTCATAATTTCTCCCATAGTCACTTGAGTTCCTTTGTTCAAACGCAGAAAAACGCCCCCATGTTCCAGCGCATGGAGCCCTCGTCTCTGCCTCAGGAGATCATCGCCAATGCCAAAGCTCTGCCTTACCTCCAGCAGGAGCCCGTCACAGGCCTGTGAGTACAGCCAAAGGGCCCACGGCCTCCCGTTCGTATTCTGTCACCGTGCCAGTGTGCAGGCCTGGGACCCTCGGCCGGGGATGCCTGAGAAGAGCGAGCCGTCCCGCAGGGCCCTTCCTCTGCGGCTGGGTGGGCGGGCAGGCTGAGGAAGGGCGGGCCGAGCATGTTCGGCTCTGGGGCCCGCACGGAGGCAGCGAGCCCAGGGATGCGCAGGGGGAAGAAGGGCAATGTTAGTATCGCCACCTTACAAATGAAGAAGCTGGCGATTAAGAGGTTGAATAAGTGGCCCAAAGCCATGTGGCTAGTAGGGAGCTGAACAGGAATTAAGTCGTTTATTTCTAAGTCTAGAATCAGCCCACTACACCATATGTGAAATGAACAGAAGGAAGCAGCAGCAGCTAAATAAAAAATAAAAATCAGGCAAAATAAAAAATCTTTATTTTCTGTATTGGTGGTGGAAACAAAACTTAAGGACTTTGCCAGTCATTTCGAGTTGCAGGCTGTAGCCCCAGCTTGTCCATGAATGACTTGGTACAGCATGTGCACCTCACTGTAACATCATCCTTCCATCCAGCAAGCGCAGACTGAGTGGCCAAGGCCTGAGGCCCTCCACCCGGTGGGAATGAGCTTTTGTGATTGGGGTCATCCAGTCCTAGTTCCTAAGGAGCCAGTACTCACGGGCACAACCTCAGTAATTACCAGGAGAGTGAAATCCGGGCTGGGGAGTGGGACCTCTGTCAGAAAGACTCTCTCACGCCATTAATTTCTTTCTGCCTCTGGTGTTGGAGAGACCTGTTTAAGAAAAGTGTCATTTTCAGAGGTCACAATCCAACACATTTGGAGGAAAAGGCCCAGAGTCTTGACCAAGGCCATTGGTCATTTTAACAAATGTTTGCTATGATGAGGTAGCAGGGTGTAGCTTCTCCTGTCTACAGAAAACAAGTAGACATTTCTCCTTGATCCGTGCGGGAAGGAGGTAAGACTGCAGTGTGGGGCCACGTCACTGGAAGGATTGGTGCTTTTCAAGGGCTCTTGGCTTGGAAATGGAAGACACCCCGCCGCCAGTTGATCTGTTTTAGCCACAATTCTCTATGCAAACTACCTTTCATCGCAGGATCACGCCGGCTTCTCTCTCGGTTATTAATTCATTTCCATATCGATTTGACCAATATTTATGGGACCCAAAAGCTGGCTGGGTCGCTAGGGATGCGGCAGTCAACACGGCAGTCCCTGTGGAGACAGATCTTGAAAAAGAAATTACAAGACTGATAATGGTTAACAGGCAGAAGGGTAGGTTATTGTGATGCTGTGCAAATAAAGGAAGAGGCGCCTGGGTCAAGAGGGTGGGGAGGCTTCCCTGAGAAGTAACGTTTAAGTGAGACTGGAAGGCAAGCTCTTCGGACGAGGAAGTAAGTGGGGCAAATTTAAGGGATCTAAAGCCTTTGGGATGGTTGGAGCACAGTCCATGGAGGTGGCAGGTGTTGAGTTTGGAGAACTGCATAGGGTTCTCCCTACTTACACTTGTACTGTGTCCCAGTACAAGCAGGACACGGAAGTTCAGTTTCATGCAAGGACAGTGGGGGTTTTGTGCATTAGAGTGACAGGATCCAATTTGCACTTGACAAAGATCATTCGTGGGTCCTGTGGATTGGAGGGGAGCAACTCAAGAGACAGGACACCACTTGTAAGTGACTGCAATTGCATCAATTATTCATGACTGTGGCTTGGACTCACAGGATAGAGTGGGGAGAGACTGTCAGACTTGAGAGGTAATGGGTAGGCTTTGGTGATGGTGTGCCCCGTGGAGTGAGGGAAGGGTCAAGGATGACCCTCAGGGTTCTGGGGATGTCGGTACGTTTCCTGAAATGGGGACACAGCAGGCTGCTGCGGCTTCAGGCCCATCTGTGTTTCTAGAGCGTTATAGATTGTTCAGGCAGAGGCTGCTCGGAAGATACAGGGGGCACTGTGACAGACAGGGCTCTGCCCTCGTTAAGCTCACGTCTGGTGGACAACCAGACGTGAAACAGAGTTATTGGGAAGAAGGGACTTTTTCCAGTGATTAATTACAGGTTTGATAAGTGACAGGAGAAACAAACGCAGTGGGATCTGAGTGCATGTGAGAGCGAGATCGGACCATTTAACGCGGGAGAGAAATGATTTCTTTAAGGAAATGACTTTGGATCAGAATTTTGAAGGATGAATTCAAAATAACATGGAAAGGTTTTTTAGGGGGCAGCCTGTATTCAAGTCTTGAAGCAGAAAGATGCCCGTCATGCTCAGTGAACTAAGAAGAGCCCCATGCGTCTGGCATCCAGGGAGTGAGGGCTAAAGTGAAGCGGGTGAAGGCCGGCAAGGTGAGACGGGCCGGGTCCCGAGAGAGGCCGTGTTCAGGCCTCCGGGCCCGACGCCTGAAGCGAGAGCTCAAAGAATTCAACGCCATGAGGTTACTCCGTGATTCCAAGGGTCCTCTCCACCTACTGGGGATTCTCCGTGTGGGTGATTACTCATTTTCTGTAGGACAAAAGGGGACCCGTTTCTCATAATAGCCGTGCTCAGCCTGTTCCCAGTGGTTCTCGGGAGAAGGCACGCTGAGGAAGACATCAAAGTCATTTAAATATCACATTGCTCTGTAGCTGTTGGGAACATTCAGCTCAAGGCTCCCTGGGAGCAAAGGGGCAGGTTGGAGGAGCCTCTGCTATTCAGCTCTTTCCCTGTGATCCCAGAAAGTTGCACCCATGGGTTGATTCTTTTGGAGTAACTGGCAATCCTTGCACAGGCCTCGAATTTTTACTGGGGTCGTTAACAGTAGACACAACTACGAAGTGATGGCCCCCATCTCCCTCCCGGCTGTCCCTCTTCCTGTGACCAGGAAGTTCATTTCTGAGCAGGTCAGAGGCACCTGTTGGCCAGTGAATGGCGGCGGCAGCCACGACACTGGGAGGATTGGCTGACTGCCTCTCCTCGCCAGCCCCGTGGACCCCGTGAGCTGAGAGTGTGCGCGGGTGCCGAACCATGCGTGTTTCGAAGCGGGCGTCCTATGACAGCTGTCCGCGCCTTTCGTTCGGAGCCCCCGCCCAGAGGCGGCCGCCGCCTTACCGCCTCTTCTGACACCGTCGCGCCCAGTTCATCAACCAACAGGCACCGTGTCTGGCACGGACACTCAAGTAAATGCTCATGGCATTGCATTGTTTCGGTTGGCCAGGGATGTTGGCACAATAAAGCCATATTCTTGCTGAGTGTGGAGGGAATTTTTTAAAAGACCAGGACTGCTTAATATTTAAACAAACTGTTCTCTGTTTAAAGTATGGCATTTTTCCTCCCAATGGAGAAACTGAGCAGAAACCGGTTTACAGTCTAGCATTGGTCTTCCATATGGCTGAGTGTGACAAATGATGTCATTTGTCACAGATATGTTAGTCACCAGCCGAGTGATGAATGGTTCCAAACGCAGGTTGAAAACAGTGCGTTCCTTTTTCTTCTAGTGTTTGTTTTGGTTTGAAAATTTTTTCTGTCCTAGGGCCAGCTACCTGTAAGTTACAAGCCAGCCAAGACTAAAGGCTGTGGGCCTGGCTGGGACTCGGTAATGGCAGCAACGGCATGTCTGTCTCTCACACGCACATTCCCTCTGAACTTGGCGTTGCTTTTCAGGAGTGGCCGGAGTGCTTACCCTTCGATGAGTCCGCTCTCCCCACAGGAAATATTCCAGCTGGCATGCATGGACCCTGCTGATGAGGGACAGTTCCAGGAGGAGCAGTCTCTGGTGAGTGAATGGTTCCATGACTTGCAGACAGTGCCTTGGTTTTCCGGTCGCTGTCACCCTTTTTCAAATTTGATTCCATAGCCACAATCCATCGGGAAAACCCTTTCTGATAGTTCAGCCAATGACCATGGGAGTTCCTTGCTGTCTCCCTTCCATAGCTGAGTTTTTCCTGTTCTGACAGATGCTTCCTCTTAGGTTTTCTAATCCCAGGGGCCCCTTATCTGTTGAAGAAATTTATATTGCTTCAGGCCAAGCCCTCTTCCTTTATGCCCTTGTGCCTCATAAAGTCTTGCCTTTGATAAGGAGCTTTAGGATAAATAACCACGGAACGAATGGCACCGGCTGGGCAGCCTGGTGTCAACAGGGATGGCTGTGGGGGGCGCACAGCTATGCCCCCCTCCCCGGCCCCTTAGTGATTCCAGCCTCTCTGTCCACCGGAGATGAAGCCTCTTGCCTCTGCTCTGTGTAGGTTTTGGCATATTGACCTTGTACAGCTGTGGCCAGAAGGGCCAAATGCATTCTAAGAGACCCCTAAAAATCAGTTCCCTGAGCCAAAAGGGTTTCATTAGCGTAAATTGTGAAATTCATGAAAAAACCTATTGAGTCCGGTTTAAGTTTGAAGAAAAGAGAGCAGATGAAACCATAGGTTTTGCTAAATACACAGCCAAACTGCGATTCCCAAGGATAACAGACTTTACTCACCATTCCTCTCAGTTCAGGAGCCATCACGTTCCCTCCCGAGCTTAGAAGGAAAGCTAAGTGTTCATTGGCCTGGAGAGAAGACAAAACCCAACATTTGCAAAAGCCCAGAGAAATAGCTTGTACTGAGTTCCCTGTCACTTCGATTGTAATGCATCTGTTTTTCTCTCCTGACCCCTCCCCACTGCTACTGTATACCCCAGAGCCACCCTGAAGGGATGGTGTGGATGGAGACTGGCCTGTTCGTGGGGTGCCTGTCTGATGGAATGGGTGCCTGCCAGAGGGGGCAAAACATTTCAGTAGCTCCAACAAATGGGCGATTCCTCTCCTGTAATTGCTGAGCCAAGGGATTGTGCATGGTTGTGTTGGGGAGGCAGTAAGACCACACATTCCCAGCATGTGAGTGCCTGAGGGTGTTCTTGGGAAGGTGAGTAGGAACCCTTGGGAGGAATTCTCTGAGGAACTGAGCACCAAGGCCCAGTGACTAATTGGTGTAGATAGCTTGATTCTTAAAAGAGACTCTCAGCATTTTAAGGCTTGCCTGGTGGGCAAAAATCTCAATAATGTGTCCTTTCTTTCACAGGGGGAGTTCTCTATCATACCTTCATTTCCGCAGGTTCCCCAGGGCTGCGCCATAGCGCCAGGACTATGCAGATATATGTTCATCTCATTGTCAGTACTGGTGTCTGTGATTCAGGTGTCAGCCTGTGCTCCACACTCACCATTGTGTGCTCCTGCACATCCCTTGGGGCCCCTGCTCTATGTCCTGGGGTGTGGCCATGACTTGTGTGCATGTCAGGAGTGTGTGCGTGTGTGTCTTGTACCACCTCTGACACCGGTAGACTACAGTGTTGTTACCACGTGTGTTCTGAGCCAGACTTGTGCGCTCTAAAGCGTCCATCGCAAACACTGACGTCCTCAGGCGCACACATCACACGCCCTGGGCCGGCAGCCCTCCTGCTGACACCAGAACCCCCTCGGCCAAGCGGCTGTGGGGGCTGACTTTCAGCAGCTCCCTGCTCATACACCCATGTTCTTAAGATATCATTTCCTAAAACATAAAATAGCTTTTCTTCTGGAATAATCTCCAGATGGCAGAGATACTCCTAGGTCTCTTTGTTTGGTGAACCATGTGAAATTTCCGAGGCAGCTACACTCTTTGTGGAGTGATACTAGCTCTCTCTTCAGAGTGTGTACATTTGCCAAACTACCCTTCTTTGACCAGGAAAATAACATAACAGGGTTGGACAGGACTTTACTCCAACTTCCTAATGCTCTAGAGTGACACAGTGCAGTACAATAGCCACTGCCCACACGTGACCATCGAGGGCCTGAAATGTGGCTAGTCCAAACAGAGATGTGCTCCAAGTGGATGATACATACCAATATCAAATGCCTCTCTTTCTTTTTTTTTAATTGATTATATGTTGACCTGAGACTGTTTGGGAATATTGGGTTACATAAAGTACATTAATTTTTCTGTTTTTTCTTGTTTCTTCTTTTTAAATGTAGTTACCAGGAAATTTAAAATTACATAAGTGGTTTGCATTATATGTCTACTGCACTGTACCAGTCTAGAGCATTCCTGACAGATGGCCACCCACCACGTTTTTTTGGATGATTCCAATCATAGGAAAACGCTTTGCTAATAAGATCATATATCTTAAGGTTTGAGAAGATGCATTTGATGTCAGATATTGCTGACTTTCCTTAGAATACTGGTTTTCATATAATTGATAAGTGGCTTCCTTAGGTTAAAAGTATAAACCCAACATTACCAACTCTCAAAAAGTAAACTTCACATATCTAAAAAGTCTTATGATGTATAATGTTTACAAAACTATAAAATATGAAGCGTTGCTTAGTGATAAAAGAATTTACCTCTCAATCCCAGTTAGAGCTTTCTGTGTGGGACATTCGGTATACCTCACAACTGCACATAGAAACACACACATACAACAGACTTGAAAGATGCAAAACTGTCTTCTAAAAGCCATTCTTGGTATGGAGGAAGCAGAATCATCCACTGGATATGAAAAGCAATGAGCTGGAACCAAGTCCCACAAGCTTGGCTGTGTTTATTTCCAGGAGCCAGAGTTTAGTGAATTAAAAAGCGTGCAGCCCTCTAACCATGGCATCTACCTTCCTCCGGACACCCAGGAGCATGCGGGATCTGGGAGGGCATCCTCTTTGCCACGCCTGACTGTGGATCCCCAGGTAAAAAGCAACAACCTACCATGTGCAGTGGCATCCTGGGCTCTATTGAATTGGTGGGTTATGAAAAAACATCTGATATTTTCAGGTGAGGCCTTGACTTGCCCCCGCCCCTTCCCTGTGAGCAAAACCTGGCTTGCGGGCCTCCTCTGCAGAGCCTGCTCCTCCACCGGGTGCTTTCAGGGATGCCCTAAGCACACCAGCCTAGCCAGCAAGATGGCACAATTCCATCCAGATGGGCTTGACAGCCTCAAGACTCAACCAGCCACACAAGAAACTTTTCCCAGGACTCGTCCTGTGCATTTCTCCCTCCTTCCTTTCTTCCCTGGCTCCTCAAGCACATACATAGGCAGCTACTTAAAACACACACAGCTCGGTGTCTGGACTGTCTGTCCTAACCAGTGCAGGCCACGCCTCATTTCTTTGTCTGTATTCCTGGCTTTTTTTTTTTTTTCTGTCTGTCTGTCTTACATTAGGTTTTGACAGAGACAAGAAGTTTATGTGGATCTGTTTTTAACATCTGTAGCAAATCAAAATGCCCAAGTTTAAGGTGGGGCTGGGGCGGGACGGATGATGGAGAGCAATGTGCTCTTAGGAGCTGCTCCGTTTCAAGGTCTCTTACGCTCTGGCGCCATGGGACAGGCCTTCTCTTCTGATGAAGGCAAAAGACAAAGCCATGCTGCTTTCATGGCATGGTCGTTTGGGTTTCCCTCACATACTTCAAAGTGGCTCAAGGTTCCTCACAGGTCCCGGCTGAGTCACCGTGGTAGGTGGCTCTGTGGGAAGCCTTTACAGCACACTCAGCTGCTGGCTTTCCTGAGCATAAAGACAAGACCCTGGGCCAGTCCCAGTGACCTAAAGACCTAACATAGAGACTTTCTGCAGCAGCCTCCTCCAACTAAGGTCTCAGCAAAAGGGATTCAAGGGTGGTCGCAGTTTGCAATCTTCAGTGATCTCAGCCCCACTCCTTTCTTACCTTTAGGCCCGTTCAGTGATTAACCCATACCTGTGTTCCTCTGCGGGCTCCCATTTGCAGGTGGTAACAGACCCCAGCTCCATGAGACGTTCCTTTTCCACCATCCGGGATAAGCGTTCAAATTCCTCTTGGCTGGAGGAGTTCTCCATGGAGCGAAGCAGTGAAAACACCTACAAGTCCCGTCGCCGGAGCTACCACTCCTCCCTGCGGCTGTCGGCCCACCGCCTGAACTCGGACTCGGGTGAGGAGGCCTCTCCCCTGCTGGCCTCTCGAGCGCCTGCCCTGATGGGCTGGAAGCCTCCGGAAGAGAATTCAGATGAGGGTTGAGGAGAGTGAAGGAAGGAAGAGTGCTCCGACCTAAGGGGACCCCGTATCTGACTCACACCCTGAAACAGGCCCCTGAGCTTCCTTCCTTCTAGAGGAGGGCTCTAGACAGCCTGAGAAGTGAGTCTCCCATACCTTCCTAAGTAGCCCCTTCTGCAGGCCGTGCAAGAGCCCCTGAGCGGGGCTGGGCCCGAACCACCAACTCCACTTCAACCCAGACAGTGCTCCCTGGAAAGGTTTGGTGTAGTGGAGGCGTTTTTTATTTTGTTTTTTGTTTTTTTGCTAGATGATGAAACAAAAGTTAAAAAAGCAGTGATTGTCCCATGTCAGAGGGCCAGTAAGTAGAAGAATTGAGACTAGAACTGTGAAGGCCTTTGACTTCAGTCTCAGGTTTCTCAGCCTGGCATTATTTACATCAGCTGTGCCATTATTTCGTTTCTAGCAACTTCTTAATTCCCTTCTGTGGGAACCGTCTTCCCCCCCAAAAGTTACCCACCCACATTCAGGACATTGAGCATTCCTGGGCCATATTGTTGGCAAGGATTCTGAATTGTGTCTTAGCATAAACAGAAGCAGAAGAGAGTTGATTACAGCCTGTGACACATGCATGTCTTTGCAGTGGCAACTTACACACTCACCTCGTCACACACAGGGACTTCTGCGGCCTTTTGCCTCTGCCTCCCTTTCAGACCATCTGTTCACGTGCCCGGAGCAGCCAGGGTCCTTTAGGGGCCCGGTCCCAGGCCCCAAGGCTTCTCTTCTCGGCGGCCGGTACAGGCTGTTGTGATTGGTTGTTTCTGTCATCTCCCACAGGCCACAAGTCCGACACCCACCGCTCGGGGGGCCGGGAGCGGGGACGATCAAAAGAGCGAAAGCATCTTCTCTCCCCCGACGTCTCCCGCTGCAACTCAGAGGAGCGCGGGGCCCAGGCCGACTGGGAGTCCCCAGAGCGCCATCAGTCCAGGTCTCCCAGCGAGGGCAGGTCGCATACGCCCAGCAGACCGGTGAGTGTGGAGAGGAAGCCGAGCCCCTGCAGAGAGACAGGGGAGGGTGGGCGTTAACTGTAGGTGCAAAAGAGGAGCACCCAGCACCCACACAGACCTCAGTCTGACAAGACACTATACCCATTGTGCATAGAGCTTTACTACTTATCACTGTGGACTCTGATACCATTTACAGAAAACCAGACAGTCCCCCAGGACAGACAGGGGTGTCTAGAGGTCATTCCACTCCAGTCCTCGGCATCTGCAGGTACAAAGTCACAACAAATAAGCTCGCAAATGTCTCAGCCAGACAGTGTTCATGGATCAGGCCCACAAGCCTTGGTTGGAATGATGACTCCCCTCAGCACGGGTGTCCTCAGTCAGATCGATTCAAGTTCATTTCCCTGGCTGCCGGCCACCCCAGAGGAAGACCGTGCACCCCCCCCCCAGCCTGTTGCTGGAACACCAGCCTGTGCCTGAGAAGTGACTACAGAAAACACCCTCTGGCCCCGTGGTCCTCCTCACGGTTCTCGAAGCCCAGGCCGGAGGCCCACTCCGCAACTGCAGGAAAGGGGCTACTAAGACTCCGAAAGGGAGGCGGGGAGCAGCTGGCTGCTAGAGCAGCAGCTTCAAGCTTTTAGCACAGAACAGAATCACCCGTGGCTTCTTCAAACTGCATGTTCCTGTCTCCTTGAGGATTCGGTTTCATTAGTGAGGGCACTGGAAAGGGAAAGCCAGAGATCTGCATTTGGAAGGACCTTTCGCCAGGAGAGTTGGATCAGGTGGCTCAGGTCACACATACCTTGAGACACTGTCTTGGAGGTCCGTTTACCAGCCTCTGGGCTCAGGGACACGTGGGCATAGCTGAGAGGCCACATCAGGCCTGAACCAGCAGGCCAGGGCGCTGGCGCAGAAGCTAGGTCGCCCTCAGCCAGCCAGGGGATCGCAGAGGCAGAGAGGGAGGCGAGGGAGGGGTGCCGCCGCCTCAGCGGCTCTGAGCATTCGCGCGCCCTCTCAACACTGTCGAGCGTTAGCTTCCAGGGGGCCGCCTGCTACCCGTAGGGCGGGGCAAAGTGGGCTCACAGTTGTTCGTATGGAAGACTAAACTCACACGTTCACGACTCTAAAGTTACCTTTGCCCCACCCTGTATAGGGAGCTTCCAGGGAGTTTGTCCCATGGACAGGTAGCACCTGGGGACTGTCTCAGGTGCCTACCCGGAGGCCCAGTCTCAGGCCCACTCCCACCCCCGGATCTTGGGAGCCTGTAGCTGTAGCGTAACGAGACTCCCAGGAATCACAACCATGCCCTGGTCTAAATGGGATTGGCGGCTGCTGCTGCTCTAATCCCTGCATCCCTGAGGGGACTCCAGCTCAGATCCCCGCTCCAGCGTTCAGACTCCCAGGGCTGGCCACGAGCCTCACGTGCCACGTCTCTCCTGCTCCACAGGGCACGGGCTCCTTGAGTGAAAGCTCCATCCCCTCCGTCTCTGACACCAGCACCCCAAGACGAAGTCGTCGGCAGCTCCCCCCAGTCCCTCCAAAGCCTCGGCCCCTCCTCTCCTACAGCTCCCTGATCCGACACGCAGGGAGCACCTCTCCCCCCGCCGATGGCAGCGAGGGCGGCTCCCCGCTGACCTCCCAAGCTCTGGAGAGCGAAGACGCCGGCCTGCCCGAGGCTCCCAGGTCCCGGCACGCACAGCACGGCCACCCCTCCCCGCAGCGCTACATCTCCGAGCCCTACCTGGCCCTGCACGAAGACTCCCACGCCTCGGACTGTGGCGAGGAGGAGACGCTCACGTTCGAAGCGGCCGTGGCCACCAGCCTGGGCCGTGCCAACACCATCGGCTCAGCCCCACCCCTGCGGCACAGCTGGCAGATGCCCAATGGGCACTATCGGCGGCGGCGGCGTGGAGGGCCAGGGCCGGGCACGATGTGTGGAGCCGTCAGCGACCTCCTGAGTGACACAGAAGAAGATGACAAGTGCTAGAGGCTGCTCCCCCCGCCCCCGCCCCCGATGCATGCTCTTCTCTCACACGGAGAAAACCAAGACCGAATTGGGAAGCCAGTGCGGCCCGGGGGGGAGGAGAAGGGAAGGACCGCGTGTGTTATCCAAGGAGAAGGAAAGGACAAAAGGCAAACCAGTCAAACCCACCAAATTGCTTTACTTCCCTTTGCAAGATGGGCACTGCCATAGTTCTGCCTCTTTGCTGGGGAAAGATGACACAGGAACATGGAGGGTCATTCCCGTGGGAGAGGGGACACCAGGATGGCTTTGCTTCTACTGCCCCTTCCCACTCTTCTAAAAGCCGGGGAGGATTCGAGCTCGCCTGTGTCTACGCCCATTGCCCTGCGAGGCCTGGAAGCCTTTCTGGCTCTAAACTTGGCGGGAGGGCATTGTGGAGACACTCGGAAGGGAGCCTCCTCCCTCCTCAGCCAGCTCCTCAGCCAGCACCATCGCCACCGGGGCAGCTGCCTCTCATGGGTCACCCTGTGGTTTGCTTCCCCGAAGAAGCACAGCCTGGTCCAGGAGCATCGGGTGCCACAGGTGGGGCAGGGAGGAAACACTGACTTGGAGGGGTCAGGGTGCTGTGGCGGCAGCGGCCAGGGCTGGTCTGGATGAGCAAAGCCATAGTCCAGCCGCCCCCACCGGGGAGGAGAGGGTCGGAGGAGCTGGGAGCTGGCAGTGCTGGCAGGGGCAGCCTGCCCCCTCACAGCAGGTGCTTCGAGTGTTAGGCCAGGGAGGTCCCCCAGGGTCCACAGACGTGCCTGAGGCTCTGGTACGGGTGATATTTTAAGAGTTTTTACAACCGTGTGGCCAGGGCACCAGCTGATAATGGGGTCCGGCCTTAGGGCTGATCACAGGGCCCCTGAGGGCAGAGGCGTTGCGGCAGCAGTGCCTGTGGGACTCGGGCAGAGCCAGTTTGCCAACTGGAACAGGAATAGCCAAGGATGGGGGCCAGCGTGCTCCAGCTGAAAGGCGGGGGGCCTCTGCCCAGCAGAGTCCCACACCCCTGGCAGGGACTTTGACATGTGGAGAAGGCTAACACATTGACACAAGAGCTTCAGGAACAGTCAGAGTTTGCTGGGGACCTCCCGCAAGGAAGGACCCTCAGTCCTGAGCTTCTGCAGCTAATTTACGGTTGGGGCTCCATGTGTCTGGACCCTTCAAAGATGATGAGTAAATATACCTCAGTGAGACCTGGGCTGGTCCTCCTAGCATAGCAAAGCAGGCTCTGATGGGGCCTTGTCATACCACGTGACAAGCCTGGGGGCCCTGACTGTTTCTCTGGGCCAGAACCATGCTTTACCCCTTCCCAGAGTGAGCGCTGAGCAGAGGATGGCCCAGGGCGTCCTTCCTAACCCCCGAAACTCAGAAGTATCGAAAAAGAGAGCCCTTACTTGGCAAATGCGTATAACTGTCCATTTGGCGGCACACATCGCTGCCTGTATCCAGTGGAGACGCACTGCCCGCTTAAGTCCCTCCGCAGTCCCTCAGCACTGTTCCAGTGGATGGAAGGACCCCCTGGGGAGGGGTGCAGGCCAGGCCCCCCTTTCTCAGCCAGGAGCAGGTGGAGCCTGCGGCACAGAAGCCTCTGTGAGAAGGTGCAGTGGCCCCAGACCGAGATCGCAGTGGATGAATGCTCTCCTCCAGTCCGGCCCTGCCTCTAGGGTAGGAGCAGTGACTTATTTTTCTTTGAAGGAGCCTCTATTTTCTTTCCTTTTTTTTTTTTTTTTCCCCTTTTTTTTCTGGTTGAAATAGAAATAAGGCATTACCACATCGGCTCTGAAAAGCCAAATTCAGCCCTGTGGCTGCAGATTCATTTATCATGGCTCTGCCTTCTCGCCTAGAGATGAATGGAGGCTCATGACCCATGGTCTGCCCCCAAACCAAAGTAGTCCCAGGGCAGGGGAACCAATGAGGCGGAGAGAAAGGCCTACCCATCTCAGGCCCTCTCCCATTTTCCTCTCCCACTCTGCCGGTGAGCTCAGCAGTAGCTGGGAATGTGAACTGGGACTACGACGCCGTGATCCTAACAGGCATGGTGGTTGCATAAGACTCTGATGCTGGGCCTTGGATGGTTTGAAAGGTTTCCTCTGCTCTGCGTCACTTCATGCCAAAGTGTTGCTAGGGGCGGCTTTGTGTGCACAAAATTGCTTTCTGCCACCTGGGAAGTGCAGCTTCCCCAGGCCAGGCCTATAGCAGGATGGCCCTTCTGAGCCCATGAGCCTATTGCATTGTTTGGAGAAAGGGAATTGAAGCGATACCTAGAGCCGTTTCAACACCAGGGAACATTTGGGCAGGCAGAGCAATTAGCAGAAATGCTGTGAGCCTGCCAACAGCATTACGGACACTAGATTTACTGGGCCTGGAAGGCTTCCTGGCCCCCTGAACACCTTAGATTCACATACACACTTGCCCGTGAGTCCCGAATAAAGTGGCAGAAAGTACTGCAGATATGGTCCCCTGACCAGCCACCTGCATTTTTATAGTTCCTGTGAATTTAAGACCTCTTTTGTTCAACTTACGCGGACCAAGAAATCAGGCTTCTTATCCCTTGGCCTGCATTTACCTTTATTAATACCAGAAAATAAAAGAATTTTCTGCTAAGTCACAGAACTGATTATCATGAGCATCTTCTAAGTTTCCTTCCGCCTCTGGACATGAACTCCAGCCTCCCCTCAAATAATCAGCCAGGATATTCCAATACATCAGATTCTGCCTCTTCGCTTTCCCATGAAGAGGCCCCTTCAGACCTCCAAGCCAGCAGAGGATGACCGCCATTGTTTGAATGACACAGCATGATACATTTAGCATAGGTTCCCTTCCAAAGAATCTTTAGCTGTACGTCCAGTTTCCCTTGCTCATACTAGTCCTCAGCATTTCCTCGAAACGGGAGAATTTGGCAGGGAGGAGGTCCCGGCCTCCCAGCACGCCTTCAGACACAGGGCTGAGCTCTAGACTCCAGATCAAGGTCCCTCTTAGCCACGGCGAGGAAACCTTTACCTGTGCCATAATGAGACGGTGGCCCGTTCATTCTTCTAGCTGCAGAATCTCTCTCTGTTCTGGGCTTCCCCACTCAGTGTCCTTGTGGGGTACTGAGATCATTGAGAACATTTCTCTGAAGCTGAACTCCAGATGTTCTGGATTTTTCCCTCCCTTGACTCTGAGGCCACAAAGGGAAGACTCCATACTCCACAACTCTGCCAGCACCCTCCTGCCCTACACGCATCCACCCCGCGTTCAGCCAGTGGGATGAACCGCAGCGGCCTCTGCTCTCCATCCCAGCCTTGTCTCGCTGCATGTTAGCGCTGACTCAGCGCCTAGGGTGGCTAACTCTGCCCGATCCAAGCTCACCTGCCGACCTGCCTGCCTCTGCTGTCCTCACTGCTACTGGACAACGCTTTATTGTCGGGGAAGACAGTGGGGCGCTCCCCAGGTGATGTGAAACGGCGGAAGGTGTCGGACCGTGGGAGGGTGTGGGGAGTCGTGTGAACTGTCCAGACTCGATGAAAGCCCACCGCGGAGCAATCAGGTCTCTCTGGGCATAATGGAACAAAATTTAATAATTTGGTTTTCTACAGAACGTTCTCAATTTTTCATTACATCCTGTTTGTAAAGCCTGCTCTGGGTGTCTCCTTTTTTTGGACAGAGTACTTCTTTAGTGGGTTGAGCCAGGGATAAGTTGAGAGAGTGCAATTTCTCAGCCTACCTGTAATATATGATTTATAAGTATTATGAGCTTGTATTAAAAAAAGGTGTTCGGGGGGGAGGGCAGAGAGTCCACCTACTTCGCAGGGATTCTGTGAGACTTGAAGTTAAGGAACTTTGCTTTTTTTATCAGCTCTACATATGTCATGTTTTGAGACCTTCAGAGGCCTGGTCCCCGTGTCTGCAAAGAATCATGGGGCAGGGGGCCCTTCCTTGATGGCTTCTCACACATCTTGCATGCCCTCCTCTCCCGGATTCCAGGCCATTGAGGACTTTATGATGCAGGAAAAAAGGGGAGAGCGGGCCCCTTGCAAGCAGCCAATCAGGGCGAAATAGTTTAACTCCAGACAAGAGCCCCATAAAGAATCAGGTCCAGGTTTAGGTAGCAATGTATCCACATTGACCGACTTTAAAAGCCAAATAACATGAACTCAGGAATTATGACCTAACTGATCCATGAGGTGATCAAAGGAGATTCCACATGAATAAGCACTGCCTGTATTAGCAGCTCTGTCGTTGATTTTTGTGTATTCCTCTCTGAACTGCCCAGCACTCCGTCGCCAGGTCTCGCCCAGCAGGGCGGCAGCCGACGGCTTCTCTGCCGGCTGCAGTCACAGGCTGTGGGGGTGATTTGTCAGCTGTCACGAGCTGCTGCTCACCCAGCCACAGAATGTGGACATGCCACATGGGGGGACAAAAGACGAGGAACACAAACATCCATCGTTGGTTTTCTGATGACCGTCGTCTTCCCTTGAGTCCTTTCTGCTCTGACCCTCTGCGCTCATGCATCCCAGCGACATCACTCTAAACCAAAGGTCACGGGTTGCTGGGCCTGGGCCGTCCTGACCTGCCTGAAGGGCCTGGAGAGCTGCTCGGAAAGCGCAAGCCAGTTGAGAAGTGGGGGCGGGACTCGCAGCAGAGTCTCGTCACGTTGCTGGGCGGGCTGCTGCCCCCAAACTGCCCTTCTCTTTTTGGCAGTCTTGCTTCCCTCCGCTCCCGTCCCCCTGCTAAAAACGGGGGGCTAGGATCTTGACCTTCTAAATGCAAAAACAGGTTTTATAATAAGCCATGCTACTATGTAAATACACTAATGAAGTTTGAATCCTTGTTTCTGGGAGTTTGAAGGAGTTGAGTAGATCAGGTACAACGAGGTAAGGGGATTTATGTTTATTTTTCTTTGGAGTTTTTTGCTTGGGTTGGTTGGTTGGGTTTTTGGTAACAGATCTGTTCTGGAGCAGCAAAGAAGGATAAATGTGTGCTCTGCAGTGTTTCTGGAT